AGCGGAGGGCAGGAGTGACATCGCTTTTTTCACCATATCTCTTCGAAAATTTCAGGGCATCTAAACGAAACAGAATCGTCAGGCGGCGTGACTGTTGTCAGCGTGGACGTTCGGGACCGAAGACATTCGCACGCATTTCCCCCTGGTATCGGCCTTTGCATTCATCATAGCAGTGTGAACTACTTGCGACATGTCTTTGTCATTGAGACTGAAGCAATGCTGACAGTATCTCTGCATTCGTGTGCTCACGCAACCGACCCAGTGCACGGGGTCGCCTGACGCGAACACCACTACTACCGGGGACGGATCCAGGATTTCGTCAAGGAGGGGGGCACACAACATTGTGGGGGAACCGTCGGGTTTACACCTCCCTTAAAAAATTATGTAAATCCGGCCATCAAGTCTAAAACCATTTTCATACGGAAACACGTCTTACTGTGCGCATCTATAGAAAGTTAGATGTGCTACGTATGCACGTATACGGAGCTCATTCATTTTCTCCAGACATGATGAATGTCGTCATTTTGAAGCTAAGAGTTTTGGAGAAAAAAGCTTGGAAAATAATCCAAAGTTGGCTGCTAAATGTTATTTAAAGTAAGTACGAGCCCGATTCCTAGCATATTTACAGGTAAGAGACTAGTTGGGGTCAACTGATGGATGACTTATTCAGAGTTTTTGCTTTGTTTCTTATAAACGAGTCCAAAATACCCCAGCATTAACATGCATTTAATTAAATGGATAACACTGAGATGCACAAGTCTAATAGGTGTCACAACTTCAATAACAAACCCAAATACCGCACACGGCTACCTTGTGCGCGTGAGTTGGCTTGTACATCTGGCGACATCTCGTGGGCTTTAACGTAAATGGTGTCTGTGGTGACTGGCCGGCCAGGTGACAGCACCAACGGGAGGCGTGCTAGGAGGCCAAGCTGTGCGTGCACTGGCGCGGAAGGGATTGAGCTGTTGACGGCGAGGGTCTGGGCTGGGCGCAGTACCTCTAGACAGATACTAAGTTGAAACGTACGAGTACAGTGACTGCTTGCATTCATTGTTGTTACTCGGCCATCGCGGAACGGAGCGATAAAGGCTAAACGTTTTCGACGCCGGCGGCACGTAAAATTATGTGCGAGAATTATGCGCAAAAATTCATCGGCGCATATCCGACTGCTGCCCTAAGGCTAACACACAAAAGCCAACAGCGACGAAACCTGAGCGATCATGGGTGCCGCCGCAGGCCGACAAAGAGACTTACGTCAACAAGCATAGGGTCCTCAAAGCAAGCGAGAAGAACCCAAGACCAAAGTGATAGGCTTCTGGACGATCGGAAGTGTCCCGGCAGGGTGACATATAGGACCCCGGCCAGAGCATAGGGGCCTTTGGGCAAAGGGACCATTGTGCGTGTGCGCGCACAAGACCAGCGTGCGTGAATGAATGCCACTGTGCGATCAAGCGTGTCCGGGCAGGTTGTCGGAGAGGGCCGTGATGGGAGCGAACAATCTTCCGAAAACGAGATCAAAGGGGAAGAGCCCTGGATCAATGTAAAGGGGCCCGTGAGCGCCGAGTGACTCAGCGTCTTACCTTACATTAGTCCCAGCAGTAGCACAAGGCCACGCGAGCAAGTGGAAAAAACAGAGACCAAAATGAAGGCCCCAAGAGTAACTAAATGTGTCAGAGCACATGGGGCCCAACAAAGGCGAGTAGAGCCTTTTGGACAAACGGGAAGAATACGTGGAGGGGCCCTGATTCAAGAGTGCCAAGGCATGTTAGCGGATAGTGCCTTAACAGCAGCCTGAAGCCCTATGAAAAAATGCAAAAAGATCAAGGGCAACGTGGGAGGCTCTTAAGCGATCGAATATACCCGACAAGTAGACATATAGGGCTCCGGCAACAGCGTGACGTCTCTGGACAGCGTGATGAATTTGACATGGGCTTCACTTTTGCTTCTGACTGTTGTTGGTCGCCTGGAGGCCCAAAGACGTCCAGTTTGATTGTGTTTTATGTTTAAAAACTGCGTCCGCTCATCCGGTCACAAACCGCTTCAGGGCCTATGGGTCCCTTTGGGGCACAAAAGGGGAGTACGATTTCATGTCCCCCCTCTGGATCCGCCATTGACCCCAGCAGTTTGACAGATGGGGCTCCGACAAGAACATAGGGTCATCCATTCAACTAAGAAGCACCCAAGAGACCATGTGGAGGGCCCAAGAATGATCGAGTGTGCCCGAACAGGTTAACAAATGGGGGGGGGGGGGGGGTGACAGGAGTGTGGGACCCTCCATTCAAATAAGACGGACCCAAACCCAGGTGTAGAGGGACACCGAGAAATCGAGTGTACTGTGTTGGCTATCAGATGGCCCTGACAGGGGGGGAGGGGGGAGGGGGGGGGGGCTAGAGCCCTACATTCAAATACCAAGACCCAATGTGCACGGCCCCCCTCCCCGAAAATCCAGTGGGCCTGTGCAGGTGCAGGTTAACAAATAGGAGCCCCGACAAGTGCATAGGGCCCTCATTCAAACGCGAAGTTTCTAAGACCCCATTTGGAGGGCCTCGAACGACCGGATTAGCCTAAGCAGTTTAATAGATGCGTTCCAGACAACAGCGTAAGGCTCTAAGCTGTTGACAGAAAAGTGAAAGCACCCTAGACCAATGAAGAGGCTCATGAGCGTATCGCGAGTGCGCCGGTAGGTCAACAGTGACCAACGTGAAAGGCTCCTGAGCAACAGAGAACTACCCGGCATGCCAATATATGCCCTCCGGCCCTAGCGTATAGAGCGTTTCGGACGAATGGAAAGAATCTGTGGAAGGTCCATGATCGACAAGAAGTGCCCCTGCACGCTGGCTGGCAGGAAGGACTCCACCAAGAGCGCAGGGTCCCCCGAGCAAATGCAAAGAAATCAATTGGAACGTGAAAGGCTCCTTAACGATCAGCTTGACCCTGTAAGTGGACCTATAGGACCCCCGGAAACAGCATGGGCCTCTGGACAGCGTGGGTAGTCTGAAGACATCTCAAAACCATCCTCTCCATCAGAGAGGAATAATTATTGTCTAGCCTTGACCTTGAGCCTTTCACCTTCGCTTGCGACTGTTATTGGTCACCTGGAACCCCAAAGACGTCCAATGTTGTTGCGTTCTGTGTGAAAAAAACTGCGTCTGTTAGGCCGGCGATGGCCCCCTCGGAGGCTATGGATACCTTCGGGCCCAAGAGGGCATGACCCCGTGCCCCCCCCCCCCCTCCCTTTGGATCTGCCCCTGACCACTATTATATTGTAATCACACGAGTTAGGCTCGAGGCCTGAACGGGACACAAGGGATAAAGCCACCCTCAAAGTATGTCAAACTGACTTCTCTGGATTTGGCCCACCGCCTTCTCAAAACTGGGAGAGGGCAGGAGCTCCAAACTAAACCGGAAACTACACTCCTGAACCGACCGCAGTAACAGATCTTGATTCTGCGAGCAGCATTTCTTTTGCCTACCTAAACGCTTTTGTGACACTTTCCCAGCGACCGCTTCGAATATCCTTAATCTATGGATGAGCTCGATATCCGTCGTATGACATCCGGTCCAGTCTCTGTCGCACTGGTCCACATGCTACACCCCTTCACATGACGCCCGCCCCAGCCTTTGTCGCGGTGGTCCACTTGCTTTACCCCTTCGCGTGGCATCCGTGCCGGTCTGCGTCGCACTGCTCCACCTGCTACACCCCTTCGCACGGCATCTGGTCTAGTCCTGCAGCGCTGGTTTATGTTGCACCCCGATGGTTAACCCCGGCTCCGATTCGCGGCTGGCTGACGATGCGCTGTATCCGGCATCTGCACGACGCGATGCGGATGTCAGAGCGTCGGTCGGTGTCGCAGTTTGCGCGCCTTTGTAGTTTTTCTACAGGCAGGTACGTTATACGAGGGGCGACTCCCTGCTCTCTCCCCGACTCTTGGGCGTCCGCCAGCCACTCGGGCCGCTTTTACAAGGGCAACTTAAGATTGAAGGGCGATAGAACGGTCGCAGCTGCTATGCGGAGTTCTCAAACCAACCTGGCTGATTAACAACACCTTACATCTGTGGCGTGGGTTTTTCTACGCAGTATTCCTTCAAAAACGACATTCAGCGCCTGCTCGAATGTAGCATAACGCCCGCCCGTTGGGTACAGCCCAACTAGAGAGCAGCTCACCGTCCCCCAACCGACCTACGTCCACTCACGTCCTCACCAACAGACCGAACTGGACGACCTCCCTCCCCCCCCCCCCCCCCCCACCCAACTCCCGCCCGTCGCTTGAAGGAACTGACGTAAACGTGACGAAAACTTAGTAGGTGGGAGCATCAGAGCCGGCGACCATATGCCGGGTGTGTCATTATTGTCGACACATGGTCCCGTGAACACTTTGGGATGGGTAGAGCGGAATCCAGCTCACAATTTTCAGTGTGCTACTAGAAGTATACTAAATGAATCGCTACCTGGCCCAATTTTAGCTTTTAACGAGGATTTGGCAGCCGGAACCAGAGACCGTATCTAAGCTGCATTTAATCATTGACCTATGACTGGCGTAGGTCAATGCATTTAATAAACATTCTTTCCTACATAAGTTTCCAATCAACCACAGCTGACCGTCACAGCTGACAATCAACCTCAGTTCCAATCACAATCATCACATCGCGTCGCGTGGGGAAACCCTGGCCCTGTACGCGGTTAGTTTATCCATGTGGACGAAAAGCTCTTGACCAGGACAAGAAAATAAACGATAAAACTCTTGGTGCCGGATCCATCGGAACCAGGTGAAATCGAATTAACTTGCACACTTCCGAGAGCATATCACAAACGCTTGAACCTATTGGGCTAGTAGGAGGTTTATACTGTGGGCCTGTAGTGCTACCAACTAACTTTATTGGACCGCGAACATATGGTGCAGCGTATTTATTCCGGCACGTATGAAAATTCCAATACTATACGGATGCTCCCGGTTCTCCGTACGCACCCGCGCGATCGCCTTGCCCGGCAGGATTGCCGTGCGGAGGGAGCTGTGGGCGGGTTGAGGGTGTTTGCGTTGCCGTAGAGATTTAGGTAGCGGCATATCCCGTGGGGAGCGATATCGCATCGCCTATTAGGTAGGTAGGTGTCGGGAGTGTACCGAGGGAGGTCCATGTTGGATGTCAGATGTGTAGCGAGATGGGTCATGCGAGCGAAGTTATGCCGGGTTCTGCTTGATGTGATCGTTGTGGTCGTTTCCGAATCCAGATCGATTAGCGAGAGATTTTAGTATGTACCTGTACCCCTTATATGCTACCACCACCGCAAAGCTGCAGGTGGTGCTGTGGCGACTGGTGACCGCAGATGGCAGATATATTGACAACAGTATGACATTTAAGATTATGGTGGTTCTGGCTGTTGTGTGTGAAGTAAATGGAAAATAGTGAATTGTTTGTGAATTGGCATCTTAAATTGCTAGTGATTTGAGGATGAGTGATAACAGTAATGGAAAATCAGAATTAGTTATAAATATCCAAAATAGACAGCTTGCAACTTAATGGAATCTTGGCAAAAAATATTTATGTATTTATGTCTGTGTTTATATTTTATGTGAATCCACTTCTGCTATTTATGGTGTAGGTATACTTTCCTACCTAACGTTAGAAAAAATCATTGTACACCATTGTCGTGTTTAAGGCATGACATATTGTAAATAATCTCAAAACAGGTAGAATCATGCTCCTACCTTCAAATTTCAATAACTTCGATGGCGGGCCCCCGAGCGCCGCGCGCACCGCACCGCCTGGACTCCCCAGCGCCGTTTCCGCGTTGCCGTTGCGTAAATGCAATATTTCTGCGTACCAAGAACTGTACGAAATGTACCGGACCAAAGTAAACCATTCGTCATGTTTAAGGCAGGACAACCATAACCTAACTGCGAACCATAAAAATATTTACTAAACATAAACCATATTTACCATAACCATATTTACCATATAAACCATATTAACTGTGAACCATACTATAAACCATAACTATAACTATAAACTATACTATATAAACCATACTATAACTATAAACCGTATTTACTGTGAACCATAAAAATGTACCAGACAAGGTAGCAAGAATCCATGAAATTTGATCCTCGACGCCAACGGGACCATGGGTTGCAGGGGGATTGGGTGGGGAATGTAAAGCAAAATAAGAACATGGCAGCTAAATAAAAGCTCACTACATGGCACCTATATATGGCATGGAACATGGATGCCAATGAGATGCTGGGTTGAAGGGGATATAGGGTGGGGAGGTTAGGTTAGGTTAGGTTACGTTACGTTACGTTAGGTTAGGTTAGGTTAGGTTAGGTTAGGTTAGGTTAGGTTAGGTTAGGTTAGGTTAGGTTAGGTTAGGTTAGGTTAGGTCAGGTCAGGTTAGGTTAGGTTAGGTTAGGTCAGGTCAGGTCAGGTCAGGCTAGCTTAGCTTAGCTTAGCTTAGGTTCTGGTCTATTCTCAGTTAGGTTAGGTTAGGTTAGGTTAGGTTAGGTTAGGTTAGGTTAGGTTAGGTTAGGTTAGGTTAGGTTAGGTTAGGTTAGGTTAGGTTAGGTTAGGTTAGGTTAGGTTAGGTTAGGTTAGGATATGTTCTGGACTATTCTGGCCTGCGTGTTTCATAAATGTACCTAAACTCGATAAGAAAAGATTTTGGTTGCTTTATTATTGTTACCTTGGTCCCGTACATGTTTTATGGTTCTTGATAAGCAGAAATATTGTGCTTTCGCAACAACGTAGAAACGGCGCTTGGAAGTCGAGGCAGTGCGGTGCGGGGCGTGCGGTGCTCGGGATCTCGCTATCGTATTTATTAAAATTCGAGGGTAGGAGCATGATTCTATCTGTTTTGAAATTATTTACGATGTGTTCCGCCTTAAACACGACGAATGGTTTACCTTGGTCCCGTACATTTTGTAGAGTTCTTGGTAAGCAGAAATATTGTATTTACCCGCCTGGACTCCCCAGCGCCGTTTCTGCATTGCTGTTGCGTAAATGCAATATTATTTACGATATGTCCTGCCTTAAACACGACGAATGGTTTAGGTTTACCTTGGTCCCGTACATTTTGTAGTTCTTGGTAACCAGAAATATTGTATTTACGCAACAGCAACGCAGAAACGGCGCTGGGGAGTCCAGGCGGTGCGGTGCGCGCGACGCTCGGGAGCCCGCCATCGAAGTTATTAAATTCGAAGGTAGGAGCATGATTCTACCTGTTTTGAGATTATTTATGATATGTCCTGCCTTAAACACGACAAATGGTGTACAATGATTTTTTCTAGCGTTAGGTAGGAAAGTACACCCTGACCCTATTTATTTACATAAAGGCACGCTGCTGAAATATTCCTGCATCTATACTTTCATCATCCTGTTTTTTAATGTGAATGCACACAACAACTTACCTAAGATATGCTATGTTGATGTGTTGGACATGTGCCCCATCAGTCACCTGTCATGTCAACAAAATGTGCTGCTCTCAACTGCCAGTGTGCCATGCTGTTTCATCATGATCATGGGTAATCAGATAGCTCAACAAATAGGACATAACATGACACACATTATGCAATTCAAAATCTATGCAACAGACCATGGTAGATGATTATGTCATGTTAAGCATGACTAACTGTGGCAGGCATATTGTGTCCAAACAAAATGAGCATGCATGGTCATGCCATTTGATGACATGACATTCAGACACATATGGTTCACAACTGAAAATTGTGAGATGGTCAGCTGGCACGCTAGCAGCCAAGGTTGGGGTCAGCAAACTTAATCTACTGTTATGTGGTGATATGTGACAGAATAATTTTTTGTTTTTTTAAGTTTTTTAAATAAATTTATTCTGAACAGTTTGCATGGGTGACTTCAGGTTCAGGGTACCTGCCAAGGGTACCTGCTGTGTGTACTGTGAACCCACCACCCAGGTTGTGCCCCCCAGTTTAACCCATAGTTTTGCCTGGGCCCTTTTGCCAGACAAGAATGGGAAGGTTTTTATGTGACACACCAGGCTGTGGCATGGCCGCCCGTGCCTGGGTCAACCCTCGTTGGCTGCTTGCCAACTGACCTTTTCATGTCAGTTGGGTCAAACAATGCGCCCACTCTGGGACTCATACCCAGTGTTGTTAGATTATGAGACCGGCATCTTTCCTCTGGACCACAGAGGAGGCAAACTCACCACAAATCACAAAGAACTCACCACAAAACAAATCAGGCAAAAGAAGGATGGCTGGTTTACCAATCTCCTATTACAGGTGTCCATGGGATCTAATCTACGATTACATGGTTGTATGTGACAGAAGGATGGCTGGTTCGCTGATCTGTGACAGGCATCCATGGGTTGTCTGTTGTCAGGAGGCGTGGCGATCATGGCCCAGCCGGTGCCAGAGCACATCAGCTTCCCGGCGGAGGAGGAGAAGATCCTCGCGCTGTGGAAGGAAATCGACGCCTTCCAGACCTGCCTGCGCCAGTCCAAGGGGCGGCCGCGCTTCTCTTTTTACGACGGGCCGCCGTTCGCCACCGGCCTGCCGCACTATGGCCACATCCTGGCCGGCACCATCAAGGACATCGTGACGCGCCATGCCCACCAAAGTGGCTTTCATGTGGAGCGCCGCTTTGGCTGGGACTGTCACGGCCTGCCCGTGGTGAGTGTCACAACACCCAGGGCAGCAGTGTGCACCCTCGGAAACACCAGCCATGTCAAGGTTTGCGTGTGCCTGAAAATAGGAAAGTGTAAGCTCAGTAATTTCAAAAAGAGCAAAAAAGGTGGTCACATATGTGTGTAAATGTGTACTCACTGTGCGTACCTATTGATATGCTGTTCGCCAGGACATACCCCAGCTCGTGGGCTCAGACAGGACGATGATAGGAGCATCCAAACGCATTGGCGTGGTGCAGACACGTGTATAACGCGCTAACGTACGTGACCAAGGCTATGCAATGTGGTGGAGCGATTGCTCCCAAAAAGTGGCCCGAGTTTGTCCTGCGGAATTCCAAAATGTCGTAGCGGCCGAACATTCGCTCGGGAAAGGTGCGACGGCGCATCATGATTCCGCCGTTCAGCAGTGAAATCCAGGGAGAAGCATCCATACGTACCACATGCAAATATGACGTCACGCACTTGCGGTCATCCCCCTCCCGCCGGCTACGCGGCGATCACGCCGGGCGATAAAACCCTCGCTTGGTCATATTTGTAAGCGTAGCGTCCCAGACCGGTGGCGTCCGGTAGGCCTCTAACTGGACTTGAGGTGCGGGGCAAAGGCTGGCGTACTGCTTGTCATGAGAGAAAGTCAACCGTATCCGGCAGTAAGGTCTTAAACCATTTAAACAACTTAAGGATAAGCACACCTGAGTGTAACGTTATGTTGTCGGTGCTCTGCTTTGTTACGCACCGGTTATGCTCCAGTATGCCATCCCCCACCCCACAAAATGTATCGTTGTATATCGACGACCCCATACTTCACGTAACAGATGTTAAGCGGGGTCCAAGCAACCACTGTCAACCTAGTGATAGTGTTTCCACATTCGTTGCATTCACCGTATTCAGAAACGACAAATCGACGAAAGAATTGCCACAAGCGATGCCCGAAGTAGTGGGCGATGCGGCCCCGGATGTGCTTGTGCGTGATTCACGAGTCCATGAACAGTTTTCCTAATCGTTGAGATTGCGTGCGGCGCACGATGGAAGTCAAAGATACTAACCGATAGGCAGTTTTTCTAAACGGTGAGATTGCATGCGATGCACGATGGAAGTCAGACATTAGTCGATGGGCAGTTTTTCTAAACGGCTAGATTCCAAGCGATGCACAACGGAGGTCAAGGACACAAAAACATACGACACTCGGCAAAATTCCACTGCCATGTAGTGAGATTTTGTCACTGTCAAAAATTGTCGAAAAAGTGGTGTGCAAACGTAGCGGAGAGAGGGGGGGGGGGGGGGGTTGTCTCGACCCTTACAGCAAGGTGACACCTGCACCCTCATAAGCCCAGCTCGGCCGTGGGGCATGTGGAGCGTCACCAGCACCTGTGACCCTGGTGAGGTGGCGCCCTGGGGAGCCCGCCGCCTGTGACCCTGGTGAGGTGGCGCCCTGGGGACGTGTGACCCCGCCCGCCACCTGTGACCCTGGGGAGCCCACCGCCTGTGACCCTGGTGAGGTGGCGCCCTGGGGAGCCCGCCGCCTGTGACCCTGGTGAGGTGGCGCCCTGGGGACGTGTGACCCCGCCCGCCACCTGTGACCCTGGGGAGCCCACCGCCTGTGACCCTGGTGAGGTGGCGCTCTGGGGACGCATGACCGCGCCCGCCGCCTGTGACCCTGGGGAACCCGCCGCCTGTGACCCTGGGGAACCCGCCGCCTGTGACCCTGGCGAGGGAGCGCCCTGGGGAGCCTGCCGCCTGTGACCCTGGCGAGGGAGCGCCCTGGGGAGCCTGCCGCCTGTGACCCTGGCGAGGGAGCGCCCTGGGGAGCCCGCTGCCTGTGACCCCGATGAGGTAGCGTCCTGGGGACGGGTGACCGCGCCCGCCACCTGTGACCCCGGTGAGAGGGCGCCCTGGGGGCGCGTGGCCGTGTCCGCCGCCCGTGACCCTGGTGAAGTGACGCCGTCTGTGGACGCGTAACCGCGTCCGCCGCCTGACACGTGCCGTTGGTGACGCCATCGGCAGGAGTACGAGATCGACAAGACGCTGGGCATCCGCGGCCCGGACGACGTGGCCAAGATGGGCATCGACCGGTACAACGCCGAGTGTCGCAAGATCGTGATGCGCTACTCTCACGAGTGGGAGACGGGCGTCGGCAGGATGGGGCGCTGGATCGGTACGTGTCGTCCGATTACCTCGGGCCGCCTGCTTCCGTGAAGTTGTCCCAGGAGCCCCCGGCACACTCCCTGCCACTGGTTCTACACTGTCGGCTGTGCATTCATCCCATCACGAAGCGCATCATCTGCTCACTCGTAGGGACAGGCTGAGTTGCAACGCTGTTGTCAGACGCTGTCCGTCGCAGATAACAGTGTTCGAAGCTCAGTTGCGATGCCTTGCAACAGTCACAGTTAAAATTGCAGACGAAGTCGATGACGATGAGGTCATATAATATGATTCACATATGAGATGTTGTCTAGCTATGTTGGGTCGATATATTTGACTTCCAAAACTGCTTTCAGTCGACTTGACAAAGGAAAGTTATCTGCGCGAAGGCTGCTGGGCATTATGTGGATTCTTGCTAAATATAATTTGATATGCCAGTTCGGTATGTTGAGTCACATCACACCTGGCTGTTGCATGCGCCAGTTGGTCTCACTGTGGCTGTGGGCTGATTTACTGAAGTGGTTGCCCGGGTTAGTTTTTTATTGTTTCTGTCCCCGTTCATCGACCCAGGTAAATCCGTAGCTAGCATGTGAAGCTGTCAACAAGCAGTGCAATAGTTATTCTAATAAAGCTCAAGCATGGAAACAGGCGTAACTTAGTCCCGGAACCAAACTGCGCATCCCGCAAACGAGGCCGTGTGGTCCGTTTATGTGATGAGCATATTATTACACGGAATCCTGTGCGTTGTGGGCGACGCAACTGACGTGCCGCTTTCGGTTAAGTTGCGAAGGCTGGATGTCTAATAGTACTCCGGAATGATGCAATACTACCACGGTCTTTTCCCCAGACTTCCGTAACGACTACAAGACGCTGTACCCGTGGTTCATGGAGAGCATCTGGTGGGTGTTCAAGGAGCTGTACAGCAAGGGCCTGGTGTACCGCGGCTTCAAGGTGATGCCGTTCTCCACCGGCTGCAACACGCCGCTGTCCAACTTCGAGTCGGGCCAGAACTACAAGGACGTGGTCGACCCGGCAGGTGGGTCTGCATGGGCTCCCCGACGGGGGTGAGGGAGACGGGTGTGGCGCGGGGTGTCAGCTACCGTCTGTAAATCTGGTGATCGGGCCATCCGTCGGATGCCTTTGAAAACTGAATGTGTGCGGAGCAGTGTGGTGTATGGCAGCGGACGATACTACAAGGAGGGAGTGCCGTCTAGGGAAAACGGTGTCAAAATCGTTTTTGCGAGTAAACGCGTAGCACTGTTTCAAGTCTGTCGTGCAGGTCAAACAGTTGCTTTGTCCTTAGGCCATTTTCAACGTTTATGAGCCCCCTCTGCAGTAACTGAACTTCTGCGATCATTAGCTGTGTACTTGTTACCGTTATTGCCCCACCGCTTATGTGTAGGTGGTGATCAGCCTCGGCCGCCGCTCGGCGGGTGTTGTACGTTGCCGGCCTGGCAGTGACTGTGTGGACTGTGTGTTCTAATACTGGCAGTGACTATGTGTTCCTTGCCTGGCAGTGACTGTGTATGTTTCCGGTCTGGCAGTGTCCATGTGTGTTCTCTGTCTGGCAATGACTGTGTGTGTTCCCTGTCTGGGGCAGTGACAGTGTGTGTGTGTTCCCTGCCTGGCGGTGATCATGTGTGCTCCCTGCCGAGCAGTGACTGTGTTCCCTGACTGGCAGTGACTGTGTGTGTTCCCTGACTGGCAGCGACTGTATGTGTTCCCTCACTGGCAGTGACTGTATATGTTCCCTGACTGACAGTGACTGTGTGTTCTCCCTGCCTGGCAGTGATCGTGAGCTTCCCACTGGACGACGAGCCGGACGTCAGCATGGTGGCCTGGACCACCACGCCCTGGACGCTGCCCAGCAACCTGGCCCTCTGTGTCAACCCCAACATGACCTACGTCCAGGTCCAAGGTGAGCTGGAAACACGGACATGGCCTACGCTCTGACTAAAGCTACCACTTTTGAGACACCGCTGAGTATCTTGTTATGTGATCAAGGCCTCTGACTCTGAGGGTCATTAGTGCGTGATAGGATATTTGTCAGCCAGGTAAAGTAACAAATAGCAAACGAGGTCTCCATACAAGCTGGCGATTTCGTGGAGTGAAGTAATGCAAACGTTATAAGCCTCCTCATCTCGGCCTGCCGTAGGATGTGATCGCCCCAAATCAAACAGCTTATTCTTTACGCGTCATTTCCCTCGGTAGAGAATCACCGTTGTTCAGAACATGTTGTCCAATATGTCCAGGACATGTATGTGCAATATATATTTTGGGATCGTCTGCATGTGACGGAAGTTTTGTGTGGGTGATCACCATGGTTGAGGTGTATGATATGGTGCACTTTTGTGTAGGGGTTTTCCAATACTTCACGAGTCGTTGCTTTTCCAGAGAAAGAGTCTGGAAAGAAGTACATAATGATGGAAGCACGACTGATGTCGCTATTCAAGTCGGAGGAGGAGTATACTGTGCTGAAGAAGATGAAGGGTGCAGAGCTAAAGGGCAGGGCCTACAAGCCACTGTTTCCGTACTTTGCCAAGGTTGGTTGGTGGCCGCACTGCTGATGTCACGTATTTAGTGTGCGAATGTGATACGAATAGTCACGGAAAACTCAGCATTGGGAAGAAGTGATGTCGCTGAGTATGGATATTTATATTGTTGTTACCCTATTGAGTTTTATGTATCATAAAACCTGCTCAAGACTTACCTTTCGAAATACTGGTCGCATCCGTCGTATCCGGATATCACAAACGTTGTGCCTAAATCCCGCTTGCTCGTTTCCCCTTCGCGGCAAATGGCCAACATACTAGTGACGCCATACCGCCTTGTCTTTTTTGTTACAATCGCCGAGGTTTCGGCTCAGTCTCAATGATCAATCTAAGCAATCAATCTCAATGAATTTTATTTTTTTAACGTTCGGCAAAAATGGTGGGAAAGTTAGCCCGGCAAAACGTTCGGCTGAAATGGAACGATAAATAACAGTTGTTTGATAATGTTATAGTCCTTCGAATGAACTTGGATGCAGGCTGTCGCTAGGTGTGGCCCAAGCTCTGCTATTGACACCGGCCGCTGCCAGAACTGGCCCGGCTTTGGTCCGGCCAGTCAGTTCACCTGGCCCATATGCGGCGAGTGGGAGGCAACATTGTTCTACGGTTTTCGGAGAAAACTTTGCCGTATGAATGTAGCAGAGCCTTTTCAGTCACCGCACCGTTCTGTTGGTATTATGGTTTTGCAATTCAAAGTAATCAAGCCAAAAGTGAACCGAGAATTCCAATAGCCTGACCAGATATTGAGTTTGATGTCGACGGCATTGGTATGATGTCGCGAAAGCAGCACATGCTCACTCCACGACTCACTGCGTTGCATGTACTAACAGCGTTCCTGTGCTGAGAATTATCGAAGCATCACTTGTGATTACGCATTTGTCCATGTTGTTGCAGATGAAGTCGTCGGGCGCCTTCCGCGTGCTAACGGACGGCTACGTGACGGAGGAGTCTGGCACGGGTGTGGTGCACCAGGCTCCCTTCTTCGGCGAGGACGACTACCGCGTCTGCCTGGCGGCCGGCGTCATCACCAAGGGCATGGACATGGTCTGCCCGGTGGACGCAAGCGGCAAGTTCACCGACCAGGTCTCCCACTTCAAGGGCCAGTACGTCAAGGTGCGTGAGGCGCAGGCTCGTGGCGCAGACAGCGCTGCGTGTGTGTGTGTGTGTGTGTGTATGTACCCCGGCCCGTGTGGTCACGGCGGGCCGTGAGTCCTGGGCACAGGGGGCTCTCTTAACGCGACGACTCCTAAAAGTCAAGTGGGAAGACAGGACAAACCCCGGACTGAGGCTGCCGCACGATTGTAAAAGGGAAGGCGTGCGCTGCGTGTACCGCCGATCCCCGCCGTCATCTCAGCGCAGCTGACTGATGCCCTTGTTATTGGCGCCGAGTGGCCAGCGATCGTCAGCTGAGTGGCGCGGTTGCCACTCGCCCTGCTAGGGGAGCCGATAGCGGCCGTTCCCACGTGGTGTACCGCCGGGGGATTTGCGGCTATCGGTCGACGCCTGTCCGCGCCGCCAGGACGCCGACAAGCCGATCATGAAGCACCTGAAGGAGGCCGGCCGCCTGGTCAACGCCAGCACCTGCAAACACAGCTACCCGTTCTGCTGGCGTTCCGACACGCCGCTCATCTACAAGGCGGTGCCGTCCTGGTTCGTGCGCGTGGAGCACATGACGTCCCAGCTGCTGGCCAACAACAGCCAGACGTACTGGGTGCCCGACTTCGTGAAGGAGAAACGGTGAGCTGGACATCTGGGGCTGAGCAAGCGGCGTTTTCATTGTCGTCTGATGCTGTAGGAGACACGTTCAGCCTGGGACGCGCCAACTGCAGTGGTTATTGTGTCTTGGCATGAATTACAGAATGGCTAAATATGGGTGGAGGATGAACCCGAATGACCCCTGCGTACGGTGAGAGCAAGGGCCGCTCGTGTGAGGGCGCAGCGCTCTGACCGCCGCGCCTCCTCGCCTCTCCGCAGCTTCGGCAACTGGCTCCGGGACGCCCGCGACTGGGCCGTCTCGCGCAACCGCTACTGGGGCACGCCGATCCCGCTGTGGGTGTCGGACGACCTGGAGGAGGTGGTGTGCGTGGGCAGCATCGCCGAGCTGCAGCAGCTGACCGGCGCCACCGTCGACGATCTCCACCGAGAGACGTGAGTGGCCGGCTGACGACTTCCGCCGAGAGACGTGAGTGCCTGGCCGACGACCTCCACCGAGAGACGTGAGTGACCGGCCGGCTGACCTCCGCCGAGAGACGTGAGTGTCTGGCCGACGACCTCCACCGAGAGACGTGTGTGTCTGGCTGACGACCTCCGCCGAGAGACGTGAGTGTCCGGCTGACGACCTCCGCCGAGAGACGTGAGTGGCCGGCCGTCGACCTCCACCGAGAGACGTGATTGGCCGGCCGTCGACCTCCGCCGAGAGACGTACCGATGTAAGTGGCCGGCCGACGACCTCCATCGAGAGACGTGAGGTGTCCGTGGCCGATGAGTCTGTATCATCAAAGCTCTCCACGTTGTTGGCTTAGGATCTATCGTGTCCCGTTTGCTTCCGCCCGGGCACACTAACGTTTTTTATCTCATGACGGTGCCACAGGTGTCGGTCGGCCACTTTCTGTAAGTCCGTTTACACTCGATTTTTCACGTCCGTCGGAAAGCGCTTGCGTAGTTGCGCTTTAAGCGCGCACCTACCTACGACATACTTTTGTGAACGTGTCCGTACTTTCCGACGGCTATCACCGGGGGCGCACCTGATGTGCCTTTCACCTACCCCGTCTTCCGTCTGCTCACACCTGGCTTTTCATTTAAAGAAAAGGAGTCGAGGAATGTTGTTTGCATGTCGCAAAGACTGGGAAGCGACCTGTTTTTATCATGTTTGGGATGATTTGCGGTGGTTTTTCGATGTCAGCTTTCCCGCATATCGGAACGGTCAAGATGATTTAAGCGGACGTTGGAGCATTGTGGGTAAACATCCGTATGAACAGCCCAAAGCACGAACCGCCTCCATCAATCGCTATGAATCGTCCTGAGGTGAACTCACTGCTCGGCTTCACTGTGGAGGACTGACACCATCAGTCCACCGGCCGGAGGTGGACACCGGGCGTCGGTGGACTGTAGCGTACCTCTGCGCCGCAGGGTGGACGGGCTGACCATCCCTTCGCGGCGGCCGGGCCAACCGCCGCTGCGCCGCGTCTCGGAGGTGTTCGACTGCTGGTTCGAGTCCGGCTCCATGCCGTACGCGCAGGCGCACTACCCGTTCGAGAACCGGCGCCAGTTCGAGGACTCGTTCCCCGCCGACTTCGTGGCCGAGGGCATCGACCAGACACGCGGCTGGTGAGCGGCAGGGCTGGCGGTGGGGGATAATGATGGGTCTAGAACGCTGCCGTGGCCGGGGTGAGGGCAACGCCAGTATGTATGGGCTAAATTCCAAAAACTCTTGATTTTTAAAATTTCAATGATTTCCTTTTTTTGATTCTAGGACTGTAAGGCAAACACTTGTGTAAATCTGCTTCGATATTCATCAAAGTGGAGAAATGCGTCGTTTTTTGCTCAACTTTGACCATCCCAAGGGGATATAGGTTTTCATCAAAGTGGGGATATGTATCATGTGCTGTTAGACTTGGGTGGACATGGTCCAGACCCTACCTCTTCCCTGATGTAAGGGCATCGGTCATGGAGGCGTGCCGGCTGGCAGGCTGGACTGGCCCCCCTCCGGTGGTGCTGCTACGCATGGCCTTACGACGCTTCAACTTGACTAATTATATATATATATATATATATATATATATATATATATCTATATATATATATATATATATATATATATATATATATATATATATATATATGCACAGTTATTGTACTTGATTGACCGTGGTAATCGAACTATGTCATAGTACTGATGTTGGCTGCCGCTGAGACCGTGACCGCTGCCGTATCTGTGGCCGTCACGGCCCGTCTGCCGGCTGCGTTCCTAGCCAGCTGACGGGCTGGTGTGCGACGGCCCGGCGCTGGCGGCGGCGCCCGGCTAGTCGGATTTACGCCGACCCTGCCGACGCCCTCAGACGCGGCCCCTGATGTCGCCAGGTTCTACACGCTGCTGGTGCTGTCCACCGCGCTGTTCGGCAAGCCGCCATTCAAGAACCTCATCGCCAACGGCATGGTGCTGGCTGCCGACGGCCAGAAGATGTCCAAGCGCAAGAAAAACTACCCGGACCCCATGCTGGTACGACGTCCGCTATCACCGCTGCTGCAGCATCTGCTCAGACACGGCGGTGTGGTCGGGAATAACGTAAAGAATGATCTTCTGCTTGGGCTCGGAGATGTGTAAGGCGTGAGAAGGCGTAAATCTCCGCTCTCTAGCAGTTTTGACCGGGGCTGCAAGCATGTTGCAGTGACGAGTTGTGTGACATTACCATGTGTCGGACGTCGCGGACGCGTTGTTCGGCACCGGGTGCGCTGCCTGCAGCCCCACGTGAGCGTTGGATATCGCCTGGCCGCGCGGTCGCCGGGATCGGTGTGTTGAGCGCCGCCCGGCCGTCGGCAGATCGCGGACCGGTACGGTGCCGACGCGCTGCGCCTGTACCTCATCAACTCGCCGGTGGTGCGCGGGGAGAGCCTGCGCTTCAAGGAGGAGGGCGTGCGCGACGTGCTCAAGGACGTGTTCCTGCCCTGGTACAACGCGTACCGTTTCCTCGTGCAGAACGTGCACGGCTTCGAGAAGGTAGGCGGCGCGGCGTGCACCGTCGCTACGGGTTAGTTGGAGGTGTGGTTTCGTGATGGCCAGGTGGTGTAAAGGCTTGCATTAGTTTTCCTTTTGTTGTTGCTTGTCTTCATTTAAATGGGAAACATTTATTTATCTAGTTTTTTGTGCAACGAAACTGTGACTGTGTGACTGTGACTGCGACAAAACCTGTGCAGTTTGAGGGTGTGTACTGCTGGATGAACATAGGACAGCTTTGCCAAAAAAGAGACCCCTTTTTGTGTGGATAAAATGTTAACACTGTGAGCACTTGTGCGTATAACTGCGTATCGTAAGGCGCTGGTGTTTGTTCATTTGCAGGAGGTTGGGGAGAAGTTTGTGTATGACGAGGCCAATGTGTCTCCCTCTACCAACCTGATGGACCGCTGGATCGTCTCCTTCACCCAGTCGCTGCTGCTGTTCGTCAAAAAGGTGACGGCTCGGCGCACAGTCCGGCTGACATGCCGTGCTCGTGTACAGGGACTATGAAGAGGAGCGAAAACTCTAGCACGTAGGAGAGGGGCAGAGTGTGAACCCAGAGCTGGTAATTTATCAGAGGTATGAAGTAGTCAACGATAATGGTGTGAAATAGCCAGCGTGCGGCGTGAGCCTGAATTGTTGCGACGAACTTGGCTTGTGCTTGACCACGGATGGAGTCCAAAGTGAATCTGAAACCAGCCGACTTATAGTTCAGGCATAGTGAGACAGACCCTTTTGAACCATTATGATTGTTAGTTTGACGTAGTCAACAAATACGTCCGTGAGTCAGTGAAACAGAAATCGGACAGCATGCACTCACAGTCAGACAGCCAGTATGTACACCCCAGGAAACAGTGATAGCTCTGTCTTGGTATTGAGCTTGAGCTGTCGTGGTATCGAAATGAATACCATATGTTAAGTCTTATAAAGTCATTGGACATGCCATGTGCCAAATTGTTCTCGCTAGAATTGGCTCCTTCGGACATGGTCACATGATCGAACCATGCGGCCTTGGCTCGGTGTCAGTGAGCGTGCTCTGCAGCTGGCAGTCGGTGTCAGTGAGCGTGCTCCACAGTTGGGAGTCGGTGTCAGTGAGCGTGATGTGCAGCTGAGTTTCGATGCCCGTGAGCGTGCTCTGCAGCTGAAAGTCGATGTCAGTGAGCGTATCAAGCTCACTGATACCGAGCGGCTGGCGCTGAGTGAAGCTGCCGGCCCCGATTGGCTCTGAGAGTGGCTGGTGATCATTGAAGGGCCCGGGGCCTGGTTGGTTCTGTGGACGGCTGGAGCTGTCACTGACCGTCGGGCGGCTTCGCAGGAGATGGCGGCCTACCGGCTGTACACGGTGGTGCCGCGACTGGTGAAGTTTGTCGACAACCTCACCAACTGGTACGTCAGGATGAACCGCAAGCGCCTGAAGGTAAGCCTCTGAGACTGAGGTGATGAGCCGTCACATAAAGAGCGGTGTATAACCCCGTCCGTCCGTGCCGCACCGGCATATGCTCTGCCGCAGTCCATATGACATTGGGTTGCCATAGCATATGACACTCAGTAACAATTGGGTGAATTTGTCGTGCGGTTTGTCTTAGAGTTTAGCTCACGAAATGAATGGGTGACAATGCCCGACCTGCTCGATAATTCCCGACTTACCGCTACCAGACGGACGATCGGTTTGGTGGCGATAAAGCTCCAAGATACATCAAGGCAACACCAGAATGCTGTCATGCTCACTACTAACGTACTTCCCCCGTGTCTGTTTTCTGTCCGAAGTAATACATACTCGGATAGGACTTGAATGCTATGAAATTAACGCACGTGTAATTCTACCTACCGGTTAAGATTGCCGTTCTGCGGCTGCCGTTATCAGACGGAATTATTGTTCTCTTCGAGAATTTGACGCTTGCTGTCGGAATGGCGGCTTTACTGCTTTCAAAATGTGTGTCTGCTATATGCGTTGCAGACGGGCTTCGCCTGCTGAATTTGAAATGCTTTTTTGCTTCAGTACTCCCGCCTTGAGTCTGAAATTTGCATACGTGTCCTCGAAATCTCTGAACGAAAGTCACTAACAAAACACCTTGTTTTTGTATGTTTGGATGCATTAGTGAAAATGTGTTAATGCGCGTCTTGTTTTCTGTGTGCTATATCGGCTCAGTACAGCACAGTTTGTGATCCCCGCGTCCGGTGGTTTACAAATTTGACTACTGCATGTTGTGTTGTGGCTGTGCGGGTGTTAAGCGCCGGCCGCCGCCGTTGTGCTCCTCACGTCCAGTGGTCCACAAATTAGCATTTACGTGTTGTGCTGTAGCTGCACGGGTGCTGAGCGCCGGCCGCCGCTGTGTCGGCAGGGCGAGGGCGGCGCGGACGACTGCCGGGACGCGCTCAACACGCTGTTCTCGGTGCTGTTCTCCATGTGCCGCGTCATGGCGCCCTTCACGCCGTTCCTGACGGAGACCATGTACCAGAACCTGCGCCATCTCAGCAGCAGCGCCGAGGTAGGGCAGCGCGGCAGCAGCCCGAAGGCGGCGGCGGGAGACCCCAAACCGGTACCGGATTTTTTAGTTTGCAACAGCAAAAATAAGTAGCGCTGCAAATCTGTTTGTAATCTATTGAAAACGCCGCTGGGACTAGCACACCAGCGATTATCCCCCTCGAACCCGCCAACGACCATCCCGCCGCGAGTGTAGTTGCTGTAATGCTGGGCGTGTTAATAGCTAATGGTGTGTTTGGCGAATGATGTGAACCCAACGTTATGTTACCAAATAATCCGTCCTATAAGTCACTTTTAAAAAGACGTATTGCATGTCTGTGGCAGTCAGCGTTAGTTAGAGTCGTCGGATGTGCGTGAGACGCGGCTGCGGCACGGCCGTGCTGCTGCGTGACAGTGCGCGGGACGTGGCTGCGGGACGGCTGTGCCGTTGTGTGGCAGTGCGTGTGGGACGTGGCTGCGGGACGGCCGTGCCGCTGTGTGACAGTGCGTGTGGGCTGTGTCTGCGGGACGGCTGTGCCGCTGTGTGATAGTGCGTGGGACGTGGCTGCGGGACGGCTGTGCCGTGGTGTGACAGTGCGGGGACGCGGCTGCGGGACGGCTGTGCCGTTGTGTGGCAGTGCGTGGGACGTGGCTGTGGGACGGCCGTGCCGCTGTGTGATAGTGCGTGGGACGTGGCTGCGGGACGGCTGTGCCGTTGTGTGACAGTGCGGGGACGCGGCTGCGGGACGGCTGTGCCGTTGTGTGGCAGTGCGTGTGGGACGTGGCTGTGGGACGGCCGTGCCGCTGTGTGATAGTGCGTGGGACGTGGCTGCGGGACGGCTGTGCCGTTGTGTGACAGTGCGGGGACGCAGCTGCGGGACGGCTGTGCCGTTGTGTGGCAGTGCGTGGGACGTGGCTGTGGGACGGCCGTGCCGCTGTGTGATAGTGCGTGGGACGTGGCTGCGGGACGGCTGTGCCGTTGTGTGACAGTGCGGGGACGCGGCTGCGGGACGGCTGTGCCGTTGTATGACAGTGCGTGGGACACGGCTGCGGGACGTCTGTGCTGCTGTGTGACGATATGTGGGGGCTGTGGCAGGTGGCGTCCGTGCACTACCTGTCGCTGCCGGAGCCGCGCCAGGAGCTGATCGACGCCGTCATCGAGCGCTCCGTCAGCCGGATGCAGGCCACCATCGAGCTGGGCCGCATCATCCGCGACAGGAAGACCATGCCAGTCAAGGTGGGGCCCAGCGCGCGCGCGCGCCCTTCCCGCGGCACAGGGCCGCCGCCCCGTCCCGCCCCGCCTCGTCCCGCCTCGTGCCGGCACGGCGCGGCAATCCGCGCGCCGCCCCGTCCCGTCCCGTCCCGTCCCGTCCCGTCCCGTCCCGTCCCGTCCCGTCCCGTCCCGTCCCGTCCCGTCCCGTCCCGTCCCGTCCCGTCCCGTCCCGTCCCGTGCCGGCACGGTACGGCTGGCGGGTGTTGATGCTCTCGCGCACGAGCCAACTGTCTTAATCGACTTAAGGTTCTGAGAGCAAAGGCCAATCAATGGCAAGGTTTTTCGACAGTATCATCCTCGCTTCGCGGCGATGTTTTGCTATGCCGACCATCTCAAGTGCAGGCGGCATTTTTCGTGACAGGTGATTGTGGTGTACGTCACTGATCCGACGTTGCCGCCATGCCTGCTGTGTGGTTCGCATCTCAGGAGCAGTTATATATATGTATGTTTTATGATCTCTGCATCTGATGACGCGTGGCTGTCGTGCCATCGGCGTGCGTTGCACCGGCTGCCGCGTGCGTGACCGGCGTGCCCGGCGCCGGCAGTATCCGCTGCCGGAGGTGGTGGTGATCCACACCGACTCGTCCGTGCTGGACGAGCTGGAGCCGCTCACCGGCTACGTGCTGGACGAGCTGAACGTGCGCACCGTGACGCGCACCAGCGACAAGGTCAAGTACGGCGTGCAGCTGCGCGCCGAGCCCAACCACCGCACCCTCGGCGCGCGCTGCAAGGGCGACTTCAAGGCCGTGATGGCTGATGTCAAGGTACGACGAGTTTGCTGGCAGTTCGCAGCGTTAAGGCGGCGGTCAGGGCTGGGGTACGGTCACTAGATCGATAGGGCCCCAACCAGAACACGTGGCTAATCGGTACAGAGGTTGGTGTTATACAGGTTGGGCGCCATATGACCATTGTAGTCGGTGCGCCCCAAAGCCCAAATGATCATCATCATCGCGGTGTTTGACAGATCAATTAAAAGCTTGCGACCTTAGTTTTTAGTGTTTTGATTCATGATGTGCTAGTCTGCGCACATTTTCTCTTACGTTGCCCAAATTCAGCTCCTGTTTGGGATTTCGTGGGACCAGTGGGAGGTTCGGAAAACCGGCGGCTTAAACACCGTACCACATGGGCTGCCCGCAGAAAGGGATGTTTTGCATGGCGGCCTCTAGCGGTGACGCTCCGGGACCATTGCCTGGTAGACTAGCATGAGCGGCTGGGGCAGACGTTCACAGAGTGTCTCGCAATGAGAGATCTGGTCTTCGTAGCGAGCATTTGTCTGCTCTAGTGGGTGGGCAACAGGTGCGTGGGCCATGGGTAGCCCGGATGTTGGACGAAGCATCCCTCAGCGGCTGATCGTTACCGACACGCGTCGCCGGGACATTGTGGCGGTGACGCCCAGTGGCATACGTGGGCCGGTGTTTCGGTTGGCGTGGTGCCCTCGGTCCCTCGGTCTATCAGGGTAGCGGCCGGTTCGGCCCGGCCCGACCCGGCCCGGCCCGCACCGGCCCAACCTGGCCCACACCGGCCCGGTCTGCCTTGAATTGACTGCGCTGTCTCCCATGGCTGACACCCGTCTCCCGTGGCCGACGCCCATCTCCCGTGGCTGACGCCCGTCTCCCGTGACTGACGCCCGTCTCCCGCGGCTGACGCCCGTGTCCCATGGCTGACGCCCATCTCCCGTAGCTGACGCCCGTGTCCCGTGGCTGACGCCCATACCCCGTGGCCCGTCTCGCCCGGCAGGCACTCGACGACGCGGCGCTGCAGCAGTTCCTGGCGGGCGGCTCGCTGACGCTGCGCGGCCATCAGCTCACTCCCGATGACGTGCACGTGCGCTACAGCGTCGGCAACGACGGCCCGGCTCTCAGCCAGTACGAGGCCCACTCGGACAACGACGTACGTGACTGGCGCCGGCCGGCGTCGCTGGGGGGGGGGGGGGGGGGGGGGGGGGGGGCGCGGCCGCGGCCGGCGACGGGCGGAACGGGATCGGATGCGACGGCGGGGCGCGTGCCAGTGGACCTGCGCAGGAAGTGGGCCGCAGGCGGCGTGGCATTTGTGTATGCAATAGCAGCGTCTAACGAGCTGCTATCGTTGCAGTATAAGTTGCAAGGCATTTAGTGCGCTTGAATATTGGCCGATTTCCTTCATCGTTTGCGCGTGGTGCTTGTCACGTTCGACTTAGTAGTCGGTGGAAGTTGATCCCAAATAGTGATGCTTCACAAATCGTGTGACGTACTCAGCCGCGTAGCGTATGACTGCGTTCCTTGGTCAGATATCACTGCGGAAACGCACATCACATAATGGTGTTTTACGCGTGGTGAGTCGCCCAGGTGCGTGACGTCTGACAGCTGTCGCCGTATTCAGATTCTCGTGCTGGTGGACACCACGCCCGACCAGTCGATGCTGGACGAGGGCGTCGCCCGCGAGATCATCAACCGAGTCCAGAAACTGCGCAAGAAGGCCTCGCTGGTGCCGACCGACGAGGTGGGACGGCGCTCACCAGGCGCGGGGCGGCTGCGACTCGGGCGAGTGTGAGGCGCACAGCGCCGCCTGGACGGGTCGCGGTCACGTGGTGACGGCCGATCAGGGGCGGCGGGGTGAATGCTCCACTGGATATACCGCTGAGACTTGTGCCAGGTCCCGTGCCTGGTTGGGGATTGGAGCCTGGTACAGCCCTCAAAGAGGGATATGAAACGTCGCGCGTCACTAAAGGCGTTATGCAGTTGAATGAGCGTGTAAGCACCGCATTTGAAGCAGCGTCACTCCATCACAACGCATCTGCCGATGGAGCAGCAAGCTCATGCGTCTTGCCGCGGCCAGCGTGTGGCGTCTCGCTGTGTGCCGCGCGGCGCCCTGCTCGGGCCGTGGCCATGACGCCGCCGCCCCGCGTGCCGACAGATCACCGTGTACCAGGCCGTGGCGCCGGCCGGGTCGGCCCTGGCCCGCGTGGCCGCCTCCCACCAGGAGTACATCGAGGCGGCGCTGAAGGCGCCGTTCCGGCCGCTGGCGTCGCGCGCCGGCCGCACCATCATCGAGGAAACGGCAGACGTACGTGGCCAAGGCGGAGCGGAGCGGCGGCGGTCACCGGCCCGTGGTCGGGATCGGGCCCTCCTCGGTAGCCGGACGAGGCCTGGGGGTGCTCACGGCGGCCGCTGCCGCGTCGGACCGCTCAGTGTGCGGCCGGGGGCTGGTTGGCCGGCTAGGCCGCGCCGGGTGCAGGGAACGGCGTGCCCGCACCTCTCCCACTCGCCCTATGGTTATGCTGAGCTTTCTGTCCGTATTCTGGAGGTTGGCGCCAGAGTATGTAAGGGGTAGGATATAAGGATGATAGGATAACAACGTGGCGGGTACGCAAATCGAATATTGGGTCGTACACCGAAGACATCATTGCAATCCGAGATTGCGATCTTGTCAATTAACTATTTCATTCTTAATCGCGATAAGGATCCTTCCCCTTTGCGCACCTTACTCCAAGATGTTTTGAACCAGCAAGAAATGCGGATCGCCATCAACGTTAACATGCCATTGCCCCACATGTGCTGCATGCCAAGATGCCTGATATGAGCTATTCTGGCAGTGCGTACGACAGCGAGACTTTCCGAAATGTAACGGTAGCGGACATCGTGTAACTTGGTAATATGTAACTGGGCAATATTTGCACGCCTGTCACGCTTCCATGTCCTATGTGGGCGCCAGCTGCGGAGGTGCCGAGGACCTGGCACCGTCTGGGTGCTCCACAGGTGAAGGGTGCGAAGCTGACGGTGGCGCTGGCGGCCGGCTTCTGCGCGGACTGGACGGCGCAGTCGGCGGCCGAGGCGACCGCCAACGGGGACAAGGTCCAGCCGTTCTGCAGGTGGGACGACCGGGCGTCTGACGCTGGCTCCCCGGCTCGTGTTGGCCGCCGCACACGGTGCGCTGTTCGTGTTCGGGTACGGAGTTGGCCGGTCCGAGACGGCCGATGTCATTGTCTCGCCAATACGGCAAGACGTTGGCCAACATCCGCAGAGGTTTGCGTCATGGGGTCTCGACTCCCGCCGGACTGTTAAAACGGCTGCATGCCTCGGCGCGGAGGAGTGGTTACCGAGGCGCATGCAAGGTGGGATGGGACTGGCGAATCTGGCGATCGCTATCTTCCGCATGTTGTGGATGGCGCATTGTGTAGGCCGACGGTATTCAGACTGCGCGCGTCTGGGCGGACGGTGCCCGGACTCTGCGCGGGTCGCCGGGCGGGTGTGGCTGACGGTCGCCGTGCGCCCGGCGCCTCCGGCAGGTACGTGAATCTGGAGCTGATGGACGCCGAGCCGGCGAACGGCGCGCGCTCCGCCCGCGCCGCCCTGCTGCTGGAGAACCCGGCCGGCCAGAACCAGCTCAGCGTGGCGCAGCTGCACACGGAGGCGCAGGTTGGTCGGTCCCCGGCGACGGCGTGCGCCGCTGTCCGCCGCCGAGCGAGCCGGCGGTCAGTCCCGCGCGTGTCCTGCGGCCACCGGTGGACGGGGGAGAGCGCCGCGTGTCGGTGGGCTCCGCTGGCCGCACGGCGACCCAGAGGTGCGAGGCCAGGGCGCGCCTTATGAGGAGCAGTGTCGCTTGTGGTCAGCAGTTCGTTTAGCTGACCATTCATGACAACCGTTGGTATTGATATTCAGGACGAGTGTTGGCAGGCAGGTGACGATATTGGTGGGGCGCGTCTGATGTCTGGGGTGTGGCAGCGAGCATGGCTGTGGGGCCGTGCGCGCTGTCGGAGCCGAGAGCGAAGCCCGCCGCCAGCGCGCGCCGCTGCCTTGTCGGTAACCCGTCGTGTTGGCCGGCAGCTGGTGTTCGGCCAGCAGCGGCGCAAGGTGTTCATATACGACGGCCCGGACGCGACGCAAGAGGTGGCGGCGCCGGCCGAGCTGGCTGGCCGCACGCTCTACGTGTACACGCGGCCCGACCTGCGGCAGGGGGCGGCCTCCAGTCCGGCCCGAGCGGCCGTCCACACCAGGTACGCACGCGCTGTACCGCCAGCGCACGCCGTCGGCTGGTTGTAGGTGGCGCACACTGGCCGTGCAGGCCGGGTACCGTCCGGAGACCGGAGTGCACCTGACCCAGAGCTGCCTAGTGGATTGCTCGTGATCTCCTCCATGAACCCAGGCGTCACATGAAGGGATCACGATGCAGGGTTGATTCAAGTGGGCAGTGTTGGTGCTGGGCATCATCTAGGTCCGGCCGCCACAAGGACGTCCAGGCCAGTGGTCACTGTATGCTGTGCGTGGACCACCAGCCAAGCGCCCGGTATCCCGAGCTCGCGGCCCGTGTCCAGGTGACCAGGAAGCCCACCATCAGACGTGGTCGCCGCCTCCGTACCTGCGTTTGAGGGAACGCCAGCCCAGGCCATTTAGACTGTAGTGATAACGCGTGCCAAACCGCGGTTCACTTGCGCCCCTCAGTCAGGGTCGGCAACAGCTGGCTAAGCTTCCGCCTGCCAGTTTTTTTTTTTGCCGGAAACTGCTGGCGAGGGAAACGGCGGAAACTGGTGAAAGCCTATCAGCTCGACATACTTAATATTTATGTCGGTCTGTAGTGCCATTGTGTGGCGGCTCACCATTGGGATCGAGCTCAAGTCCAGTACAGTGTTACAGTGCTGACAGAAAGTGGTTTCTGCCATTGATGCTGAATTAAACTGGTAGCAGTCTGTTAAAGCCAGCAAGCGACATTTCCCCGGGCTACAATTCAGCCATGCCTCCAACGCCAGACAAGCGATCCGTCTTCCTGACGCTGACCGGGCCCGCCTCGGCAGGTTTGTGAACCTGCAGAACGGCGTGTGGCGGGCCACGCTGCTGCTGGAGAACCCGCACGGAAGCTTCATGTTGGACTGGACGGCGCTGCGCCGGCGCGCCGCCCAGCTGATGGCGCTCGACTCGCCCGATGACGTCGTCCTCAGCCAATCGGAGGGCGGCGCGCCGCTGGCCGCCGGCGGTGACGTGGCAGCGCTGGCCGGCTCGACGCTGCACGTGCGCCGGCGATAGTGCAGCGCCGTGGGCTGTGGAGCCCCGACGCCCAGTGTGCTACGGCTAGGTTATGTCGGATCGGCTGGACAGGACCGTGGCGTTCTGTCCCGCGCTGGCGCTGGAGGGGAGACGTTTGCCTAGGTGCCGGTTGCTGGTGTGGTGGGTGAAGCATCGCGTTCGTTCTGTTGCGTTGTTGGGGGATCGGACGTCTTTCGGTTGTGTCCTCGTGCGTCGTTTTGTGCGGACGGTCAGCATTCGCGTGCAGATACGCTCAGACATAATACACAGCCGAACGACGACTTCTCAGTGGTTGTATATGTACCGTACTCGCTCTCAACTCCGGAGTGTGGCCATGCTTAGCATGCTGAGGAGCGGGCCGAGGCTCTCCGGCCCGGAAGAGCCTGTCGTCCCCCATCCGACCCAGCTGGTCTACGCGCGCCCGCTAGCGCGGCGGTGGTGCCCGTCTCCGATGTGGCATGAGGCCGTCTCCGTGGTCTCACACCACGGTACCATTATGGCTCGCGACTCTTCCGCACCGCCACTCGCTTTCAGCCATTGCACAACGGTTCGAGGGACCCGGATGAAGATGGGTGTCTGGTCACGTTGGCTTGCGGCGTGGATCGTATTCCACAACCATTCAGTCTATGCCGACGGCGATGTGTTTCGCCCCTCGAGATCATAGCGGGAGATGCCCAAGCATTAGACCTGGTTGTTGCTCGGCCATTTACCACCGGCCTGCCCGTCATGGAAGTAGGACTCCAGACACCGCTGGCCAAAGGACTAACGAAAAAGTTTGGCTCAGCGTTTGAGTAGCACAACCGGCAGCACATAAAAAACCAATGAATCTTCAGACGGTGCGGCAAGACAGGAAACTGTTGTCAAATCATATGTCAGAAGCATTCAATTCAGGTGAGACAAGCCCTGTGATAACGTACTGACAGTCCAGAGACACCAGTGTCGTAGCAAGATTTTTAAGTGACGATGCGGCGTTGCCGCCAGGTTCTGTCGTTGACAACAGTTCTTACGCTAGTGTTCCCGCGCACACCGCCCACCACGTTTCTTTTCTTTAGCAATAACCTTTCTGTTTGATTCATAGTAGTTAAGTCGATCTGGAAGCGCGCCATGATGGCGCATGACGTCACATGTACGTGACCAGCTGGGCTGTAGTCTGCTATTCATCTGGGAAAGCGCCCCTTCCCCTCCTCACTTGGAGTAGGGAGTGGGCCAAATCCGGGGAGAAACCCGCTTGTTGGCGTGTCTTGAGAATGTTGCATAATTTGTCACTGTTCAGCCCCCTTCCCAGCTCGTTTTGCAAAACTACGCTCCCAGTGTCCCGTCTCGCAGAGTCCAAGGCCGGCGTAGGTGGACTGAATGTATCTCTCCACAAAACACTGGGATTCACAGTCAAGACAATACCCCGCACTCGCTACACAGTACCAATGCCACTATGTGTATGCCAACATGACACAGCGAGAGTAAGCATATGACGTCAGTGCCGTGCGGCGACGTTCACACGGCGCTCAGAGACCGGGCGACTCGAGAAAACAAAATCTGGGGGAGGATGAACGCATGAGCCAAGATTGGCACTTCCACACGCAATGGCCCGACCAATTCTCGTCGAGCGGAACCGTCTAGTCGCCAATTTTCTAGGGGTCTTCCCGGCGACGCGGTCTTAATGTCCGAAATTTCCTGAGACAGTTGGTGACTCGACGAACGTGATCCCTGTTTCTCTCTCCTGACGAGCGCCCAGCACAAAAGCTGCACGCGCCTCACACATTACATAGTCGATATCGCTTCAGTATGTCACGATTTGCGGACTCTTCGCCTGCCAATAACGCTACATCACGTAGGCTTTGCCGTTGTGACAGCGCACAGCTGAAATAAAAAAACCTGACTGAATACGATCACATACAAACCAAGGTGCGTGGCGATAGCATTGATAACATCCATCAATTGTTGCAGGCAGTTTGCATGGAAAAGTCACAATGAATCAAAATGTATAAATTATACATGCACATGATTAAAAACTAGGGTGCTGTATTTACAAGTATCAAGTTCCTATCACACTTAGCCTCATATGTATGCAGTACCTACTCACTTATATCAAGGCACTGATTCAACCTGTTCATTTGGAACCACCAATAGCTTAAAATGTTACGTGAAACCAGTTGATGAAAAACAGCTTTTTTTGCTTTACTTTGTCATCAAGCTGGTCGCAACTCCATTTGCTAGCAGTATGCAATGGCCAGTACCTCAAGGGGTCGGAGGTGCTAGAAGATCAAGTCCAACACACTCCCTGGCGACCTTTACACCGACGGCAAACACCGCGATGCTTTTGATGACAGACCTGACAATGGAATCCCATGTTAGATAGGCTGATGTCAGGCTCACCAAGGAATGAGCTTTTTGATAGCATGGACACTACAATCATGGATTTACATAACATTACAGCATACATCATCATCATTCATAGCACAATGAGTGACAAACTGGGTAGCTTAAAGAGAGGAACATACTATGGCAAGACTTTGGAATCAGTCACACTCTATATGGAAAATTATTCATAGGAGGCTAATATGTGCTGGAACATTAAGCAATATCCCTGTGATGATCACTATAGCCAGCATTATGTGTAAGCAGCTCTTAAAACTGCTGTGGCTGCTGCTGCCATGCTAACAACATGCCAAAATCTTCATCACATGAAAACCTGCTAAACATCACGGGAGACATATGATGGCTTGCAGAAGCTGGCTCAATGTGTAGTTTGTACATTCAATGGTACACCTAGATGGTTGGTGTAGCATCTTTCAGCAGCTTGTCAGATCATACATTTGCTTTGAGAAGCAGGTTACATGTGACATTCTGCTTTTATTGAGCTGTTGTTAAAGACAGATATTTCACAGAATAAGTACAGCCAGAAAATGCTCCTAACAAGGAAGCTTTCATAAATTTACAACATCCCGCTTATTCCCAATGAGATTCCATGTCACCCCCACAGGATGGACACAAAATAGAATAATCCCACTGTAACATGTGCTATATGAACTGCCTGATAAACTCTATTGTAACATGTGCTATATGAACTGCCTAATAAACTATACTAGTTTCTGGAAGACATTTTTTTACAGACAAATGAATTTGCATATGATAGACTGGTGGCTTAAGTGGACACATCAGCACCCAGATGTCATAATGCTAGCCAAGAATCTTTCCCAGGACTTTCATTTGGAAGATGCGCATATTACCAACTTCCCAACTGACATTTTACCTCTGCACACAACAAAATAGGGTGATCTCTACTTTTTTGCCCACCCGGAACAAGACCAACACTCCCAGTACCTTGCCTGCAGGCTGCAGCATTAGCACTCAACAGGGACCAGCCTGCACTGATCTCCAATTAATTGACAATACCACCACAGTGTGGGTGCACTAAGCTGATCCTCTAACTAAGATCACAAATTTGACAACCAATCCATTCCAGAATTCTTGGTAGCAACAGCAACATGGTTAGAGTAGTTTCAAGAATGTGCACAGAACCTGAGGTAGACCAACTTTCATGGGCCCTTGTGGCAATTTGTGGGCCAGATGTCTTCATGTCTTTAACTCTTAACAATCAGGGAGATACTGTCTTCACAAGCAGCAGACACCACTCTAAGCAGTACTTCTCTGGCTACCAAGGTAACTATGCACAATTTAACACTTACCTGTCAGCTCCATCTTTAGTACAATGACAAAAATCAAAATATTGGCTCTTGCTGGCAAAATTAAAGCTCATTTCCCAACTACAGGTCACACAGTACTCCCAAAGTAGCATCCCAGCCTGAACACAATGATCATTTTGATGAGATATAATTGGGGCATGGGCACAACACAGATTTTGTGCCACCTTTTTGGAAATTTTGTGCCAGAAATAGCCATATGGTGGCACTGGGGGCATGATAGCATGCTCAATGCCATAAAATGGGAAGTCACAGAAAATAACCAAATGGCATGATGAATCAAGTTCTTTGGGGGCAAGTAATGCTAACAAAATCTGCCCAAGATAGGGAAGGTTACTACCTTAATTGGGGTGGCACTATGTTTGCTCGAACATCCTGTTGGCATATTTGCAGACAGGGGCAGCACCAACCCGACTCGCCACAATGACCCATCTTTGCACAACAGACCTACCATTTGAATGGATCATTGTACAAGTTCTTCACGGCACCGATGATGCCAGTGCTCTTTGCAGGAGCCATGCAGGACGCCTTGCAAATAGGTAACAATATAATCGGCAGCCCCCAGCCGAGAAACAACGACGACCGCGGGGTAGGGGGGACAATCGTTGAATAGTCTAGAGCACGACCCAAAAAGCGGCGCGTGTTCACGCGTGTGCACGCGCTTTCACTCCGGTAGATAGAAAAGTGTCACAGGTGGCAAAAATGTCCTGCAAAGCTACCAAATTGGAATGGAGATGGTTGCATCGCGAGGAATATTATTTATATACAAAATGGAGTATTGATAGCCTTATTCCTCGTGGAATGACCAGGAGATTGGAGGATAAAGAGACTGATACGCGCGGGCTGAACTGTATTCTCGATCTAGGCTGCGTCTATGATTCTATGCGCGCTCGCAAGCCGACTTCTAGCTTTAATGGTCTGTGGTTGGTGGCAGCGGAGCCACCAGCTGGTTGCGCACTTGTACAATATTCTAGTTCTGGGAGCAGGTCGGTAGTCCCGACCAGCTCTCATAACGATACTCCAGTGTGAATAATGGCGTCTGCATCCCAAAACATGCGTAAGCTGACGACAGTTTTATTTGACTTGTGATACTTTTTCCAGCCGAATAGTCCTGAGCATCCTTCATTTCGGTACAAATCATAAAGTTCCTACTATATCTTGGTAACTTGCCTAACCTATTTGGTAAAATTTCAACCCATCTGGTGGATAGTTTCATTCTGGACAATGCTTTCTTGTGTTTAGTGATTTAAGTAGGCATTGCGATCAAGAAGTTAGTTAAATCGTTGTTCAAAACACCCTTATTGGTAGCGATTCCTCCAGATTGAAGGAAGTGTTTATTTTGGTTACCGGTTAATGGGCAGCGAACGGAATTTCATAAGTTTCGTTAGCCACATTGTCTTGCACTTCAGTTTACGATGGAGCCATACGCTGCTTTAATATCAAATTTATCAACAAATGTACCACACTTAATCCGTAGCGAAATTATGGCAAGCTAATCAAGCACGCTACATTTGCAGTTCGGCATTTTTAAAGATCAAATCAGCAGGATGAAATATTCTAGCTGGAAATTGGCAGCCTCTTTCTTTCGCTGCCGACAACCAAATGATAAACCTCATCCTTGATGCGGTGTCGGCACCGCCATTTTGAGGAATCGACCGTTTAGGCTGGATCGTGTGGGGTTTCGGGAGGTCCGTTTGTCGAGAACCAAGGTGAGCGATCGTGATCGTCTCCTATCTGCTTTGTGATGAATTGTTTTACCACCTGAGAGTGCGCGGAAACGTGTACCGCTGCTGGACCTAAAGCTTTTGGATGTATGCGCTATCGACCAGTCGTGGATACCGTGTAACCGCTGTGCCTGTTGGGTTGTCGCGCCGGCTTCGCTGCTCTTCATGCTGCAATTGTTGGAATTTGGTCTCCTTTGGATGGCAGCTGTTGATATGTTCGGACGATAACTGTTAAGTGCTTAGCTAACCTCCCAATTTTGGCGGAAGTTTTTCGCGCTTTTGATCATTGCAATACGTTGGTTTGTTTCTTGTTCCATAAACTCGAAACGAAATGGTGAAGGCAAGCACCGTCATGGCTTACTAATGGAAGAGGCCTGTTCCATGTACTAGGTCATTCAACAGGACTGTGCAGTGGTACTTTGTGAGTTCTTGTGTGTGAGGTGTTTATGTATCTTGTGACTTGACAGTTATTGGTGTATCTCCCTCTTTATGTATTTTTCATGCATAGTTGGATCAGACAGGTCCAATTTGTTTCATTGATAATGTTAGTTATATGAAAACCATTCTGAAAAACCCACAAACTGTATTGAACTGGCTTCTTTTATGTTAGATCTTATTGGATGTCTTCCTCACCAATTTAGCATTATTGCTTGTAATTTATTTGACTTTTTGCAATGTTTGTGTTTTGTGATATTCTTAGTGAAGCAACTTGCAAGTTTTGGTACAATGAATGGTTGAGAGCTTAAAGCCCTCTACTTTGGCAAATATATTTACAAAGATGAGACTGTCAATCAAGCTGTCAATCAAACTAAGCAAAATATTACTTCATGACTTGATTTCTTGCCTATTGTGGCATTTTTTCTTATCAATGTTTAAATGCATAATGACTATTCAAGAGGCCTTTTGACCCTGGGAGGCATTATTTACTTGGATGCTTGTGTTAGGTATGGCCACATATCTAAGGCATGAGTACATTAGCTACATAGCTGGTTTACTGACCTGTGTTTCATCAATACACTGCTTGTGAAATAAATATGCTGCATGCTGTGATTATTACAAGTGTTCATGTCTACTGACTACATGCATACCCAATCAACACATGAATACATCATATGCCCAACACTGCAATTATTATGGTTAAAAGTATCATGTGGTTGAAATGACAAATTTAGCCCCACTTCAGCCTCAGCTTTGCCTGACATGAACTTGCCACACATCCTAACCTCTGTCATCACATTAATTACTTACTCTCACAATCATAGTCAGCCTAAAAATGGTTTGCTGAATGGAGTAGACATGCTTATTTTGTTATCATCCACTTTGCTTTGTCATTGCACAATGTCAGCATGGCACTTTGCATAAATAGTTGGGGTGGATGTTAATCTGCCATTGAGCCACATATGTTGCAAAAAAGCAATACAAATATTTGCTAGTATGTTCACAATGCTCCACTTAGCATGGTCATGTGATTGTTTATTTGCTCAAAATATTGTATAATTATTATAGAAAGATACCTGCAGCTCACTTTGAAGTAAGTTATCAGTAGCTTGCTTGTCTTGTTAAATAACAGCAGTCAATTTGTGATCTATAGTTTAAAAAAGAATATTTCCTGTCACCAGAGATGTGCTATCCACACCTGCTTCATCAGGCAGAGAGCTGGCTATTAAGGCTTTGACATGTAAGATAATGCTAATCAGCAATCACTAGTGTGGAAGTAGCCCCTATTCCTGTGTGACAAATATTTCTGTATGATTGTTTGAGCAGACCAGTTTGTTTCCCTGTTGTTCATGAATAAGCAGTAATATTTGCAGCATTGTTCAGATTTTCATGCTTGAAGTTTAATGTGGTCAATCACATATTGTGGGCCTTTAGCAGCTCAAGTACCCTGCCTGATTTATACAGCAAACTTGCATGTGCTTTCAATTCAAGGTGCTGAAATATTTGTGGAGCATGCTTCAAAACCTTGTTGCTAACATTGAATTTTGTATTCAAATAGAAATCAGGGTTTAAGAAAAAGTCCTGGTTAGCCTGCCTGAAATAGTATTGGCAGGCTGTGACTCCAGGAATCTGCATTTCAAAATCATGAACTAAATTGTTACAGATATGGGTTACTGCTTGTGTGCTTGGATATGGTTGGGTTACTAGCAGATTGGCTTGTAACAAAATGCTAATTTTGTAAAAATCCTTAGAAAAAGTTGTGTTTCTGGGCAAAGGGGAGAACTGGGGAAGACAGATATGTAGAAATATAGAGTATAGAGTAATCAGTTGGTTACATGCAATGTTAAGCTTGCCCAGATTTCCACTGGTCTGTTATCAAAATGGACATGTAAATGTTGCAGCTGTATTTGGGAGTGCCTATATAACCTCTGATTTTCTAGGCCGCAAGTTGAGCATGCAATTTAAGCCTCAATTTCAGCCAGCGCACCAATTTTTCCCATGCTTGGCAAGCCATGTTTCTGGCTAAGATGTAAATGGACAGCACTTAACCCACCCACTGCTCTTTTTTGTGTTCACTCTTACAGTTGCCTGCTGCTTTCTGTACCTGCCCCTATTCTGCCCCTATGCTGCATTGTATATGTTTAGTTTTTAAAGGGTGTATTGTAGTTTGATATGCCTTCTGGCAGGACATGCTTGCTCTGTGTGTGTTACATGTATGATTTTAGGATAACATGACCTCATAGAAAAATGCATAATGAAGATGAAGATGTAATGGGTGTCCTTCCCATGTAGCTGTTAGATTCTGATGTGTCAGATGTGATATTTGCTGCTTAAATATTTGGCAGCATGTTTCCAACCAGAATGTCTTTCTTGGACTTTAAAAGATGTATTCACCAGTTCATTCAGAATTGATAATTGTGAATATGCTAGTATTTGTTGGCTACTCATGTTTGCTTACATGATCTACTGGCACATGATGCTCATGTTTTCATGAAGACCATGGCACACTGGTCAGCTGACTGCACCACACAGCTGCTGCTGCAAGTGCATGTCTACTATATTACTAAAGGAACATATGCAGCTAAACTGAAGAATGATGTAGCTGTTTGGCCACATAGCACTGCCTCAAATTGCAGTTTCTTGAAAGCTGCATAGAGGTAACAGTGATATATCTTCATGTTCCAGGCATTCTTTTTATTTTATATATTTTGACATGATAGGAATGCCCATGCCCTCAAAGTGATCAGTGTGAGCCTGTCAGAGATGTACAGCAACTTCAGAGATGTTGGGCACTGTTGGTCCCACAATGTGCAATCATCATTTTCATCAGCTGAATGTGTGCTGAATGGCCAGTGTGCCAAGGTCTTCACCTTCATGGGCACAGCCACGTTGTTTTTGTTGATGGGCTGCTGGACTGGAGTGTGAGCCAGCGTGTCCGGAGCATTCTGCTTGATGACGTTGACCTGAGTCCATCAGAGCGCAGCGTGCGGCGGCATGTAGCCGGCTGTCAGTCGACCGTCACGTATGCTGGCGTGTGCCCGGTGTCACATGTCAACAGCTCGCCGCTGGCACCCAGGCCAGCTCCGTGGTCGCACCGATCGGCCGGCACCGGCCAGCGCATGGCCATGTCCGGCGTATGTGTGCATGCGTGCGTGCGTGCTTGCGTGCGTGCCGTGCCGGGTGTGTGGCCGGCGCAGCCGCAGGTGGAGCGCTGCCGGCGTCGGCGGCAGGCGGCCGGCCGCCCCACCGTCTGTGACTTCACCGGTGCTGTTCTCGGTAACACGCAGTGTCTCGCGCCGGCGCCGGTCGGAGCGCGCTCGGAGCGGCCCAGCCAGAGCCCGCCGCCGGAGCAGCTCTACCGTGGCGCCGACGGGACCGGTCGTCACACGCTCTCTCGATTGTGACCGGCGTTAGCGAGCGTCCTGTTAGCACGCCGCAACCTCACTTTGTTTGGCCATGGGTGATGCCGATTTAGACCTATATGAAGATGTTGACGACTTCAACATCAAGGTAAAGTACTCAGTGTTCTGCATCCATGTCTGTTCTGTGTAAAGAACTCAATAACGGGAAGTGCTTCACCAAACTTGTCTGGATTCGCGCTGTTCTGTTGTTTTATTTCTTTATTGTTTGGCTTCATTTGTGCTGACTACTACATTTCATACAACCTGTGTTAGCACTGGTGCTGTGATCTTGTTATATATGTGCTCACAAATCATCTACAAGTGTTTATTTTGGTGCAAGCAAATATGCTCGTGAAGGGCTGTTAAATGAATTATGCGACTGTCATGGAATGTGCACGGGATATTTCGCCAAACCAAGCGAGGGCTGCACCTGGCTCGGTCATCGTGGTTGTAGCCCATGTTTCGGTCAAGTTGTGGATTCGGGGCTACTGAAATTTAACTCTAGTGATATCATAATAGCCGTGGTTCGTTCTCACGTGCGTGATGTGTTGGCACGGGTTCACTGCCCAGTTTCGATCCGTGACCTCCAACGCCGTCGCTGATCGTCCCGGGTCAGAGTTCCGGGTGCTGCTCTCGTTATGAACACCATCAGAGGCGGCGATGCAGCGCGTATCTGTTGTGGCTACAGTTGGCTTGTCTCTCTGTTCCCGGCGCTGGACTGCGGCTACTGTGCGGCGCGCTGTTTGGCCTCGCTCGGGCACCGGCTGGCCGGACGCTCATGTGGCCCGTCCGCTCGCGATCTCGATCAAAGTCTGTCCGCGCTCTGCTCGCGCTAGCTTCAGGAGCGTCAAGCGCGTGACTTTGGTCCTTTGTGCTGTAGGGATGGAAATGATCGCTGCAAAATCAGGTGAACTGTCACTGATGGGTCTTGGTTGGTGATATCGGCCAGATTTGGTGTCATTTGCCACCGCGAACTTCGTCGGCTTGAAATCGGGGCTGCTTATATAGAAAATACCGAAAACGAATGTGACCTTGTTGCGCAAACGGCGTCACGAAGTTTGATACCGATGCTTGAATATGCACATGGTTTGGAGAATGGGGAGAAGCGTATATTCGGTTTCGGCATGGGAAAATATGTACTTCATCGGGTTTACGGCAGGCGTTTGCGTTACATACAGTCATTGATCATCTGAGGTATTGCGCTGTTCCCGTGACGTAGGACGTGTAGGCGTCTGCTGCGCCATGTTCGACTGCTTGTTGGAAATCTCGTCATCATTGCCCCCAAAGACAGACCTTTTTCACTGTCCGATTGTACGGCTGGGCTGGTCTCAGTCTGAACCGCTGTTCTTGGGTCATGACTGAAATGCGTTAGCTCTTTCGCCGCCGGTACTTAAAGCGCGTGTCGCCCGGCGCGAGTCCCCACGCGCCATGAAGTCGTCGCTGCGTTCCGCCGTGTGTTTGCCTTCCCCTCCCCCTGCCTTCCGGAACGGCAGTTCCACAACATGGAGCTCGACTAAGTAGCTGTCGTGTCGTGAGGACGCCTTCGACTCTCTGTTTCTCTGGGTGGTATGAGAGCAGTCCGTTGCGCGTCTGCTGGCGGGGAGCGCCGTGGCGGGCGTGCTGCGTGTGGGCGCGGTGCGACCCCCGCCGGCCGTCCGACCGGCGGTGCCATGCGACCCGAGCGCGGGGCTGAACGGTGCTTGTCCGGCGGCCGGTGTTTGACGGCGGCGGCGGCGCCGGGACAGGGCCGCGTCACGGCTTCCGACGCCGCCGCCGCCCGCTCGCCGCCCTTCGTCTGACGTCACTCGTGTGGCGGCGGCCGCAGGACTTCGGCGACACCGACCTCTACGATGACGTGGTCACGGCGGACGGCGGCGAGGTGGAGAAGGCCGGCGGCGGAGGAGGAGGCGGCGGCGGCCGCAGCAACGGAGCCGCCGATAAGGCCGAGCCCGGCTTCAAGCCGACCAGTTCACGCGGCGGCCGCCGCTACCAGCTGTACGTCGGCAACTTGACCTGGGTCAGTACCGACTGCTGCCACGGCCGTGCGGCGCAGACAAAAACTGGGACGGGACAGGGCTATGTATGAAATAGCTGTGTCCAACGTTTACTCGTATGTGACTGTTGTCTGTTTGGAGGCTGTCTTGAAATCATTGGCATAACATACATGCATTGAATAAGTATAAGTGCAATGGCGTGCTGAAAGATGAGTGTATCTAGGCCCGGAGCTCAGCTTGTCACGGGTTGTGGGTTTGCATTCCGTCACCGGAGCCTTGTCGAGGCCGGTATGGGCGCTATGTGGCCTCTGATTTCGACGCGGCCTCAAATCCCAAATCATCGTCATCAGGCGGTGTTGAGGGCTGGCGTATACTCTGGGTACCGAGCGTGTCGCTGGCAGCAACCTAGCGGGCGATCATGGCTTTGTACTGCGCCTGGTGGCCGGAGAAGTCTGGTAACTGCCACGTTGTGAATTTCGGTATCAATCATCCGGACATCGGTGTGATTTGTCATGATGAATGTGTGTGTGTGTGTATGTGGGTACGTGTGTCTTAGGCTAACCTTATTCGGCCTCGGGTTGGCGCAGTGGACAACGGACGCGGACATCTACACTGCCTGCCGTGAGATCGGTGTCAATGACCTGCTCGACATCAAGTTCTACGAGAACCGCATCAACGGACAGTCCAAGGGCTTCTGTATGATCTTCATTGGCTCGGAGGGCAGCTACCAACAGTGCATGGAGAAGCTGAGCAAGAAGGAGCTGCACGGCCAGCACCCGGTTGTGACCTACACCAACAAGCAGGCGCTGCAGCATGTGAGTGACGTCCGACGATCGGCGACTACGCCCGACTGTCCGCTCGTCGCGCTCGGCGGCGCCGCGCTGGGGAGCGGTCCGCGGCCTGGGCCTTGGTGCGAAACAGTTGGCATGGTTGCTGTATCCGCCAAGGGTTAAGTACGGTGGGACTGGGCTGTGAGACGGTGTCTGTGCTGTGAGCGGTTAAGTTGGGTGTTGACGTGCCAGACGGCAGTGTCGGTGGGCAGAGCGGCCGCCTGACTTGTCCGCCCGTCCGTCCCCAGTTCGAGTCGCAGTCGCGGACCCGGCCGCCGAGTCAGCAGCAGCAGCAGCCGCCGTCTCACCACCAACCGCGCGAGCCGCGCGACAGGCGCGGTCCGCCGCCGGGCCCACCCGGGCCGCCCGGACACCACGGCCGCGGCCCGCCCATGCACGGCGGGCCTGGCATGGGCGGCCCGCCCGGCATGGGACCGCCCGGCATGGGGCCACCCGGCATGGGGCCGCCGCACAGCGACTTCGGCCGCGGCATGGGACCGCCGGGGCCGCTGCCGCCGATGGGGCCGCACCACGGGCCGCCAGGTCCGCCGCCGCCACCGCCGCCACCACAGATGAATCACCGCGGCCCGCCAGGGCCGCCGATGCCGGGTCTGGGTCCGCCGCCGATGAGCATGGCCGGGCCGCCGCGCGGCGCGCCGCCGCCCATGATGGCCGGACCGCCGATACACCAGCCGCCCCGCATGTTGCCGGCGCCGCCGCCGCAGCCGCAGCCGCCTCCGCCGCCGCAGCCTGTGATGCTGGCGCAGCGGCCGGCGCCGCTGGAGTGGGGCCGGCCGCCGCAGCAGCCGGCGCCGTTCGCCGGCCCGCCGCCGGCCATGGGTCCGCCGGCCGGGCCGCCGCCGCCGGCCGTCAGCGCGCCGGCGCCGCACGTCAACCCGGCCTTCTTCGCGCCGAGCAGCCAGCCGCCTCCGGGGTACAGCCACGGCCCGCCGCCGGCGGCGCCGGCGCCGGCCGCCACCCAGCCGCCGGCCGCGCCCGCCGCGCCCGCCATCAGCGAGGCCGAGTTCGAGGAGATCATGAACCGCAACCGCACCGTCTCGTCGTCGGCCATCGCGCGCGCCGTCGCCGACGCCTCTGCTGGTGAGAGTCGGCGGATGCCTCGTGGGCAGCATGCGACCGGGCCGTGGGTGCTGCCGAAGTGAAGCACTCCACCCAAGCGCCGACTGTTCCCATGCATGTTAAGTTAAAATGAGGTGTAAGTTTGATGTGAAAAATAACTCGGGTTGATGGCGATAACAGATCTGGCCCGTATTGCCTGGCTTTCGGGCGTTATCTGGCGGCGGCAGTTGTCATGGTGTGCCGAGTGTGGTCTGACTCGGCCGGTGGGCGCGCATTGCGGTGCGGCTGCTGACGAGGCGCGTCTCTGTCTGCCAGGCGAGTACGCCAGCGCCATCGAGACCCTGGTGACGGCCATCTCGCTCATCAAGCAGTCCAAGGTGTCGTCGGACGAGCGGTGTAAGATCCTCATCAGCTCGCTGCAGGACACGCTGCACGGTATCGAGGCCAAGAGCTACGGCCGTAAGGAGCGAGGTCAGTTGCCAGACATCAACACCGCAGAACGCTTCAGCGGTACCCTGGGAAATTCGATTCGGATCAGTTTTACATACCCCTGTTAATTCAACATCAGAACTGATAATGTGGAAAGACCAGGCGCTGAAAGCCGTGCTCCGCCACGTTCAGCGCGTGGCCGCCTGGTTCAACCTTGTGCTCTGCGTCCGGACCGGACCGCGGTCCGCCAGACTGACACGTGTCGTGTGTCCCACAGAGCGGTCCAGGTCCCGGGACCGGGACCGCTACCACAGCAGTCGGCGCCGCGAGCGCTCGCGCTCCCGCGACCGCGAGCGCGACCGATCGCGCAGCCGCGAGCGCTACGCGGACGAACGGCGCGACCGCGACAGGGAGCGCGAGAGGTGAGCGGCGGACCGGGGGAGGGAGGCCGACCGGACGGTGAGTGTAGAGGGGAGGACGGGGAGGGCCCGAGGACCAGGCAGACCGCGCCAGGTGAGAGGCGGGGGCAGCGTCTGGTGTGAGTGGCGTGGTGGGGCGGCGTAGCCGTGGGGGGTCAGAGGAGGGGCGGTATCTGATGTGATGGCTGGGTGGACCGGTGCAGCCCGGGGCCGGACGGGGGCAGCGTCTGGTGTGAGTGGCTGGGTGGGCCGGTGCAGCCCGGGGCCGGGGGCAGTGTCAGGTGTGAGTGGCTGGGTGGGCCGGTGCAGCCCGGGGCCGGGGGCAGTGTCGCCGCTCACTGCTACAACGGGATGACTCAGTACGCTGGTGTGGAGCGAGTGAAGGGAGCGTGCCGGCTGTACAGACCTGCTGTACACGAGGAGGGCAGCTGAGCTGAGCCCCTTAATGTCAAGCGTACCCGGGTCAGCCGCTTAGCCGTAGTTAACTCCGATACGGGATGGGGGTGTGGGCTCCTGTGAGGCTGCTGGAGATTTTTTGCTGCGCTTGTTAGGTCAAGTCGCACGCTGTACGCGTTGTGCTGTGACCAGGGGATTCGATGGCGTTAGGGTGAGTGAACGGAAGAGCATGGAGCTGGTGCTCGTGAAGGAGCCATGAATAGGTGAGACATTGTCGTGTATCCTAAGATTATAGACAGGCTTTATAGACTTTCTGTGTTGTTGTTTCGTTTGGTCCAATAACACTGTTATCGCATAATTTGGATGTAGACAGCGGTCCTCAGGGAGCTTTCAGTGTTAGAAAGCTCAGCAAACTGCATTGAAATAATTCGAACGTGGCGCATTTCGTGTGTATTTAATGTGCAGTGCATGTTGTTCGCCGGGCCAGTGCCGTGGCGGAGAGCAAGATACTAGTTCAAAGTTCTGGAAATCGGGGACGGGAGTCATCGTATAACTTGACTGTTACGCGTCATAGGCGTCAACAGAGGCGTTCTGCCGGCCTGGCACCTTCCATCCGCGGATACCAAATGCATTTTACATTAATGCGGCTTTGCTAAGCCGCTCACAGTTCGCCATTTGCGGCTGTTGGGTCAAACACTCGGGAGCTATAGTAAAATCACGGTTGTCGCATTGTTCGGTTATGTTGGCGTTGTCCGTGAGCGCGGCGTGTGCAGTATCCGCAATATCACCCTCCATGTCTGGCCAACGTGGATGCCGCGACCTGTGTTGGCGCGTCCTCGGTCCGCTGTTGTGTGCCGCCGGCGGCTGCGGGCGTGCGCCGCCGCCGTCGGCGGAGGCGCCCCGTCGGCTCCGTTCGCCGCCGCCGCCGCCGGTCGCTGAGTGCGGCCACCGTTTACCCCGCAGTGCGACCAGAGCGGCGGTCGCTCCGCGCGGCAGCGGCGTCGGACCAAGTTACCCGCCGCTGGCCAGGCCGAAGATCAGCGAGCCGAAGTACATAGCTCTAGTGGTGTCCGTGTTGGGTGGGCTGGGACGCGCCGGGTCTCGCCGGGTGTGCTCCCGCCGACCTCTCTGTCCTGACCCGGGCGCGGCCGCGGTCTGTATTCACGTGGTCATTGGCGTGCTCCGGTGTTTCCACCTGGCCCTCGTAAGGTGTGAGGCCAGGTGGAGGCATGTGTGAAGATGCCTGCCATCTACGTCATCGTTGACCTAGAGCCTAAGAGGAGGCGCCTAGCAGATAGTTTGTTGCTCCTATGAAATCGTGTACCAGAGCCCTGTCCTTAACCGTCTCCCGGCCGACGTACCCCATGTGTTGTGTCGCCTTTCCTAGTCCTGTTTTGGAAGGGTACTGGGTTAGCAAAGCTTGTTTTTTTTGTGCCGGTGTCGGGTATTGCAAAACATATTTTACCTAACTGGATCATTTTGTTCGGGGTAGTTCGTTTACGTAGGAGTTTGTTCACAAAAGCGTTGTCATCGATTTCCAGAAAATACTCATTCGCGCTGATGCCCAATGTCGGTGAACATTCAATACCTTTGTGAAATTCTCGATCATCTTTTTCGTGGTTAAAATTGAACTTGAGTTGCGCTTTTAGTGCTATCGGCAACATCAGACGCCTGGCCGTTTAGTTAATGTTATTAGTTTTTTATTTGTTTTCCGTACAACCTTGAAACTTCCATATAATATGAATTTGCGATTCGCGATCATGCAAGGTGTAAGGACATTGTCCTAAGCTCTTGTTTAGACTGGGTCTTAATTTCGCTGCTAGTGATGAACTAGGACAAGAAAGAAACGGGGACGACGCGGCTGCTGTCTTGTTTGTAACTGTGCAGAGCGCCGGCCAGCGATGTGCGGTGCGGCGCCGCCCTGACCCGCGGCGTCCTCCGGGTGCCGTCTGACCCTCGTCCGCCCCGTTTCAGCCTGTCAGCGCGCTACTACGACGACCGGTACCGGGAGAAAGAGCGGCGCGACGACCGATCTCGCGACGAGCGCGAGGTGCACCGGCGCGACGAGCGCTCGCGGGACCGCGATCGCGACCGGCGCGACCCGCACTAGGCGGCGCCGCGGGCCCGGCCGGCCGGCCGGCACGGCCCGCTCCGGCGGCCGCTCCTCTCTGTCTCCCTGCCCGCTGCTCTGTCCGTTTTATTCAGGCGAGGCTGTGGATGCCTGGCGAGGCCTTGCGCGGGCCAGGCAAGGCCTTGCGCAGGCCAGGCGCACGCAGGTGTCGAAATAAACTTGTCATTAAAACAACGGCTGGTTCTTTGTGGCGTCGCCGGTTTGTGTGCGGGATTTCGAGTGAGAGTGGATGGCTGCTACAATATGCGTGTTTTGTAAACGTCATGCGCATTGCTTGAGGCTGAAAAGCGCCGTAGCTCGTTTAATTGTCATTTGTCGAGCGCCGAAAACATAGTACCATCTCCGGAGCGCAAGCGGCCGGTCATACCTATCGACGATTGCGAGCGCCGTCATTGTAGTACGCGAGCGGCGGACCGACGAAATAACCTGAGAGCCTCCAGCGCGTGTCCCTCTCTTTGGTGTCTAAACAAGATCCGAACACGAGCAATGTCAGGCCCGGTCGAATGCGGTTCTGAAGTGCGACACGTTTGCCACGGGTCATGTTGCCCAGAGAGGTCCTGGATGGGACGAAATGACCAAGCGTCCGCACCTTCGTCTCCCACCTGGGGGTCCTGGTTGGAATCGCGGTTTCGCCCTCAGTCCGTGAGGGCTAATGGTGCCCTGCGGCCGCTGACGCCCCTTGAAAGTGCGCGACGACTAGCGAAGTTTTCCCTGTTCATGAAAAAGGTGAAGTTGATCGGTCGACATCAGACGCGTCCCTGCTGCTACTGCAGGTGGTCGCCGGCACGGGCCCAGCCGGGAACAACAGACGCGTGATAGGCGTTGAACCGGCGGTACGGTAGCCGGACGTACCACCCCATCGACCCGGCCGGTGAGGACGTTTCAGGCTCGCGGCGTCGGCCGCTCAGCCCTCGCGTGGCGTGAGACCTCCGATCAGCGTCAGCGGCCGCTGCCGTACGCGGCACGCGCGGCGTCTGTTCAGCAGCGTCCCGGCGCGTTCACTTCCGATCGCTGCGGGTGGGAGCTGAGGGCGGCGGCCCGCGGAGCCGTCCCAGTGGCCCGCCCGTGTGATGACTGACCTTTGACCTTCGGCCCGGGCCGAACGATCCGTGGGCCACGCGGCCTCGCGGACCGCAAGGTATGGTGAGAAATGGATGCTGAAAGGCTGCGTTTATAATGTTTCACGCATTCCTTTCGTGCACGCCAATTTCACTGATCACTTGCACGTCGAGAACCAATGTGCGTTTATGTCGGGAATTTTCAACAAAGCAGGGTTAGATTGCTATTGCGGCTTATAAAGCACATCAGTCTTGCAAACTCGGCGCCCCATTTCGGTTCAGGGCGTAGAACACCGCACGGACTCATCTGCAGGCTCGAGCTCGGCCGCAAGCTCTTGTGGCGTGTCTGGATCGCAGTGTTCACTGTTACTCGAGTGGCCAGTGACATGGCACGTCACGAGCGGCCGGTGTGCAGAGCCCCTCCTCCAGCCGCTCGCGAACAAGCCGTCTCAAAGTGGCGCTGCCGGCGCGGGGCCGCCCTCTGTTGACAGCGGGCCCATTACCCGGCGCGTCGGCGCCAGGTGACGGCGCGCCCCGCCCGCCGGCCGCCAGGGAACGGGCCAGCCGCACCACCCCTGCCCCAGCACCGAACATTGTTGGTGGCGCGCGCCCGGCCATCTCGGCAAACACGGCGCGCGTTGACAGTGGCGCAGCGGCAAACACGCTGACGAGCGGAGCGGGCGGTGCTGGCTGACACATTTGCCTATGATTACGGTCTGGTTTGGTCTGCCGGCCGGGAGTCCCGGCCCGACCTGGTCGGGCTGGCCATTGCACGTGTGTGAAGTTACCGGCAGTTGCATATTTGCACTCGGCAGAAATGCATTGTTGTGTGGCCGTCAGTCAGGTCAATATGGAGACGGCCTCTTGTGCGGAGCTGCATTCACATCAGCCTGAGTAAGCATTGATGCCCCCTCTAGGTTAAAGGAGTACCCTCACATTTGGTACGTATTTTAAGAACATACTCTAGTGAAACCTCAGGGCTAGTTGCGTCTAAAAATAAAGTTGCGTAGCGCGACTGCAGCACAGTTAAGACATAATGACGATATCAATTCAAGCTATTTTCGAGTCCAAATTTCGCTGAGCGACGCTTTGTAACAGCACTTCGCTTATTCCCTGCAGTCGCAACCACCGTCGTCGTGGCTAGCACCGTGCGCACCTCTTCTCTCTGGTGCGAATAAATGAACGTCTTTATTGGCCTAACGGGCGAGGGCCTGTTTCCGAGAAGCGCACAGGTTAAAGTCTGAACCAGCGCGTCACATGGATCGTGTGATACTCCCATTCCCGACGCCAAAGTGCGCCTCAAAAACGGCCAGTGTGCTAAGCGCCCTAGGGGAGAAATCAACGCCATCGTATAACGTTTCGTTGAATTCAGCAGATAAAAGTTTCATGCTCACATATCTTTTTGTGTAAATAGTGTCTCAGCTATCGTAACATTTATACCACAAACATTTCGACACATTAGTGTGCTGCAAACATTACAGAACACGTAGGTGGGAAAAGGCAAGGCAAATGAAAAGCATTACATTTCTACTGCCGGTTTGGGTACTTCCAACATAAATTTTGAGCTAATCCGAAGGACCCAATGTCAACCAGGATGTTAAATGCGATTTTATCCGTGGGGTCGAATAATTCAAATAGAACTTCTCAGCTAATCAAAAGGATTTTGAGAAAACTGGTATTGCTGATCAAATCGTGCGCGTCTGATGTACAAAGTGAAAAATACAACAAAAAGGTGGGATACTCCCTTTAAACACGTGACGTAACATCAATGGCAGGGTAGCGACCAATCAGGAAGTAGCTTTTGCCCTGATACCCGCTGGGCAACACCCAATCACATGGCAGGGCTTCTCGGTAATCACTGCGTGGCCGCGGGTCACCGGCGGCATGTTGTGTAGGCTGTACCGCCAAGCCGGGTGCGCCCACAGCATCTCCTCCTTCGGGACTGCTGGCCGAAGAAGTCCTTGATGTGGTCGTGGCGGCTGGTCGTGGCCCAACCGGTCCGGCGGTCTTCACTGATGAGCGCTGCACCGGTGAGGCGGTGGCAATGGCGGCGGCAACTAGAGCCGAACGCGTCGAAGTGCTCAATCTTGATAATCTCGCGGCAGACAGAGTAATCAGCCCGGCAGGCCTTCGCTCCCCACATCGTCGCCAGCTGTCTACACCACGGTCTGCAAGCCCCGAGGATTACTATCAAGCGAGGAGTACTGCGGGCGCAGTTCTCAGTTCCACTGACGCTGCTCCAGGTTTGGGAGCCGATGTCGCAGTGACGAGCTCAGACACGGCGCGCTTGCCAGGAGTTCACGACAATATCCTCGATGTCACCCAGCATCGAGGTCTCAGCCGCCAATGGACAGCTGATGCACAGCATGGGAGCCTTCTGGCCATCAGGTGTTGGAACGACAGAGCAGCTGAAGACTCAGACCATGCCTTGAGGGAGTCGCGGGACTCCTCGCTCGGCATCCAGAACATAGCCCACGGGCTGCTCGCTGCTGCAGCCTAGTATCTAGGCTAGAAGCACACGCAAACACCACAGCGTGTCCCCTGTGTGCTCCTCCAGGGACTATTCACGGCAACAGCAACAGAAGCAGCTTTGCCATGGACTCCTTCAGGAGTACGGCGACGTCTTCGGCACTGACGGCAGTAGCACATGTCTGAAGCCAATGGCTGGTCTTCCGATCGTGATTTAAATCGAAGCAGAAACACGCGCGGCACGTCCTGTTTCTAACCCACAGAGGGATCACTGGAAACACCGGCTGGGCGAAATGGTGCAGCAAGGCATCATTACGCTAGCCATTGAGCTGCTGCTGGAGATGCTGCGGCTGCCCGTCCAGAATCTTCTGGAGCCACGCTGGCGGGGTCTCGTCTTCTTTCTCGCCCATCCTGCAGGTAGAGCGCAGCTCATATGTCATGCAGGGACGCCACGGCAGAATTCAGCAGAGGTTCAGAAGAGTGTCGGCTGCGCCATGCCCTGTTGTTGTCTGGCGGGTCGATACAGAGTCGGCGTCTTGTGCAGAGGTGTATTCACACCAGACTCGTTAAGCACACTGATATCTCATTCAGGGTCAAACACGCGACGTAGCGTTGATGAAAGCGTAGTGATTAAAAGGGGCCGTCGAACTGTCGAAGTTTGCGCCAGCGGTATCCTCTAGTGGTCTGACTCATTGCTCGAACACATTTCGCGGGGCGTCAGGCGGCCTCAGATTTCTTCAAAATTGCTACAGGAGTACAGCTTACGAAATGGTGTCCAAAGTCAAGGCCTTTGGTAGAGCACTAAAGCGCTGACCTCTAGGGTCACCGAACATCAGGTCCATATCCTTGGCCATAATACAAGAGCATGCCCGTTCAGTGGTTCATTGACATGTTCGAATCAATCTATAGTAATGATTGTGTTTGTATATCTATAGTAATTGGCTGTGTCTATAATCCATAGTAATTGGTTGTGTCTCGATCGCACAATATTTGAAGTAGCCAAAAAGTCGTGTAACCGAACCGGGAGCGAGGTCAGGTAAGGTTGCATGATGACCTTAAAGGAGGAAGTATAGCTGTCGATGCATTTCTAACGAGCGTATGCAATGGTGAGACGAATGGTGATATCGAAATAATTATGGAGATAATCTCATACATCTTGTATTAATCGACTGATACATTTAATACCTTATCGACATACAATTTTCCATCGATTTTACCATTGGTTGATACCGTTTGGAGCATTACACCTTCAATTGTGTTTAAAAGAGACACAGTTGTAGTACATACAAGATTGTGTCCTCGGCTTTTCACGTGGCACCATCTAGACTTACTGCAATTGGTTCCAGGTATCGAGCGCATCGTGGTTTGGACACACAAAAAGTCAGGCAACGGTCTCAGGAACAAGTCAGGCCAGGTCACGTGGTTAAATTATGCGATCAGTGACACATTTCCAGGCGCCGTGTGCCATGGCAACGTGATGGTGTCATTAGCGTCATCCAGTGGGGGTTGTCTGGATATGGTCTCATATAGATCATAGAATAATCAATTTGTAATCCGATGTGAGATTTCCCATTGACTGAACACGCCACCCCACGGCCTAGAAACTCC